CCCATAATTCTATGTTGATACACTTGAAGTTGTCCCAGAGGCTCCTTACACTATCTTCAACTTTCTGGATTCTCTTCTCTTCTTGCTTCTCCAGAGGAGTGTCCTTTGCCTCTTTGTATTCCAAATCTTTGACTTGATTCTTGTGTTCCTCTAGTCTGCTGTTTGGTCTCTGTAAAATATTTTTTATTTCAGTCAGTATATGTTTAATTTCTAATTGGTCCTTTTTCATATCCTCGAGGGTCTCATTAAATTTATTGGCCTTTTCTAGGAAATTCTTAAAAAACCTTATAACCGTGGTTTTGAACTCCATATCCAGTCTTTTGTTCTCCTCCATTTCTTTTGTTTGAGATCTATTTCCTCGTCTTGGCATTTTCACTGCTTCCCTGAGTTGATAGGTTGGCTTTGTGTGTTTGGGGTCCTATATGGCCTGGTGAGTCAGCCTCCCCAATTACCTGAGGTAGACACTCTTGGTGTTTCCCTTTGTGGACTGTATGTACAGCTTTGTTGTAGTTAAGTTTCCCTTTGTGGACTCTATGTACAGCCTTGTTGTAGTTTCCCACTCCGCCAGCTTTCCTGTGGTTTTGGATGATGTCTGTTCTGTCTTTTAGTTGTTGTTTTGAAATTGTTGTGGGAGGCGGCAGCTTAGGTGCTTACCTAGGCCGCTATCTTGGTTTCTTGGTTCCCTGGCCTTAAGTCTTGGTTGTTGTTGGTATCCCTGGGAGGAATTGACCTCCAGGCCAATTGGATGTAAGTATCAGCTGTGTCTACTCCGGGATACCTTCTGTTTTGGAGATAATCTTATAGGATCAGACTTGCAAATTTGCAAAAGCCTCTGTGCTCAGCTTGGATGGGGCAGAGTCTCAGGGCTGAGCTGACAATCTTGGCTTCCTGTCAGCCCTGCCCTTGTGCACGAGCCTCAGACCTCTGCCTTCCACGGCTCCCCTGAGTGAGTTTCCACCTGATAGTCCAGAATCCCTTATAAGAGCACGGGTGCCCAAGGGGCTCGCCTGTAATTGGGTTGAGTCTCCTGTAGTCTGGAGCTTCTGACTCCTTCTGCTATGGAGCAGCTGCGGTAATCTGCGGTCGGGCCTCTCTGTGCATACTCACTCATGCGCTGCAGCTCCTGGCTCCCCCGAGTCTCCCAGTCTCTAAGTCTCTGAGTGCCTTTCTCTACATTTCAGATTCCACCTGTATGAGCACAGGATTTCAGTTGGGGTTGGGGTTTAGTATAGTTAAAACTGGGGTTCAGTGCTACCAAGGGCTTCCTTTCCCCTCCTGCCAGCCAGGCACTCAGCTGCCCTTCCTCTCTGCACGAACGTCTCCCTACTTCAGTGCTTTGTGGTTCCCCTGGTCCGTGAGCCTCTCTTCTTCTTTCTAGTTGTAGATTTCCCACTCTGCCAGCTTTCCTGTGGTTTTGGATGATGTTTTTTACTTGTTGTTTTGAAATTGTTGTGCGAGGTGGCAGCTTAGGTGCTTACCTAGGCTGCCATCGTGGCTTCTTGAATAAAGCACTTTTGATGCTTCTCTTGAAATTATTGTTTTCTTTGATTATAAAATCTGCATTATTAACCAGTTGTGTTCCATAAGATGAGAAAGGTTGAAAATTGCTGAGTTAGATTATTTGGGGACAGTGGAAAATGAGGTTTGGATTTAATCTTAAAATGAAGGTTGGGGATTTGTATTATTTTGAAGTGTTTAAAATGTTCTATATTTTTTCTAGTCTTCTACTGATCACAGTTCTAACCTGGAGAATAGAACACACTCTTAGTGAAAAGGACGGTTAGCTGAGTTAAAAGCAAGGTACTAAAGAAATGACTGAATGTGGTGTCTAACATTCTTCTTAATGTAATAGGAAGAATTTTAAAAGCCCTGGAAAAGACCCGACAGAAAGACACTATTTAGTGTTAGGAAAACTTGCTGGCACCCTTCATTTCTGTGGACATTAATGAGATGGAGGCAGCCCTGGGAATCAGGCACTTGATTTTGTGCTACCTGGTCTTACCCAGTTCCTGACCATCGGCGAGCTCTTCCCTCCCTGGCCTTTAGTTATCTCCTGTAAATGAGGGGGTTGGACTACATAAGCTCTCAGGGCCCTTACCCCTCATCCTATATAATAAAAGCCTAATATGCTAAGTGTCTGGTAGTCCAGTCTGCAGTTCAACCAAAGCATAATATGCTAAGGCCGCTCAACCACTTGCTGTGACTGCACTGATAGCCAGAGGGCAGACACTCTGACCAGTAGGTTAGCTTGTGGCTGGGGTCTGGCCGATTGGGACTAAGCAAGATGGGCTGGATAACCCTGGAGCCCTCCCGAGGACCCTCTCTGGCTGGCCAATCTCCTACCCTCCTTGGCCTGCTGATCATGCACCAGTAGGTCCCTTGGCCTGGCCTGAGCCCTCTCACAATCCGGGATATCTCAGGGGATGCTCAATAGCATGTTTTGGCCCAATCCTGCTTAACCCAGGAGCTGCCCTCTGGTGGTCAGTGCGCTCCCACAGGGAACACTGCTCAGCCAGAAGCCAGGCTCATGGCTAATGATTGCAGCAAAGGTGGAAGGAGCCTCTCCTGCCTCTGTGGCAGCACTATGGAAGTTCAACTGACAGCTTAGGCCTGCTCCCCCCGTGCAGAATTTCATAGACCGTAATTACATATTCCAGTCACGCACCACTTAATGAGGGGCTTATGTTCTGAGAAATGCATCATCTATCACTTATCACTGTGCAAACATCAGAGTGCACTTACACAAATCCACGGGGTACAGCCTTACTACTGCAACTGCAAGGACTAGATTTTCCTAGACTGGCAGCCCAGGGTTGTTTACACCAGCACCACCACACACAATTGTTTTGTGCAAGTTTCAGCCTATCAGTAACCAGTGGTGTGGTTGGACCTGACCTTGTGGTTCTTGATTGCAGAAATAACCATCAGGTGAACTTGAAGATGAGGTTTATCACAAAGCCCGGAAATTACATGGGACACTTGGGGCCACATGGCAAGTCCAAGGGTAGAAAGAAGACGAGGCTGGGGTTCTGCTTTAATTGGGCTTGAGGGTGGGGGCCCAGGGTTTCGAGGGCTCATTCTGTATTGGTGAATTTAAACCATAAGCAGGAATATAGCATGGAAGACAAAAATCAAGTAGCCCAAATGGTTCGTTACTGCTCAACCAAGATCTCAATTCAGAGTGGGGGTTGTGGCCTGGCTCCTAGACCTCATCCCGTTTAGGCATCTTTGAGATGGATGCCTCTAGTCAGGGCTTACACTGTGATAACGTATTGGGCTAAGACTTTACTAGATGGCTGACATCAGCAGGGGACAGGAATGTTTTAGCTCCATCATAACCTGATGGGACCACCAGTGCACATGTAGCTTGCTGGGACTGAAATATCATTATGCAGTACATGACTATGTAAAAAGTTTCTAAGATGTCTCCCCCAGACCTTTAGTTTAAAGCACATTCCTTCTCTGCATGGTATTTGCTATTTTTCTTCACAAAAAGGGAGTCAGGTCCAAGGCAAGAAAGGTTTTTAGTAAACTTTTTTTTTTAGTGAAATATGAACTTTTTAAAAAATTTTACTTTTTTATCGATTAAAGTATTCCATGTGTCCTCATCCCCCCATTACCCCCAAACCCACCCCCTACTCATGTCCTAACCCCGCCCCTTGGTGTTCATGTTTATTGGTGAGGCTTATATGCATGCATACAAGTGCTTGGTTGATCTTTCGCCCAACCTCCCCTAGCTTTCCTCTGAGGTCTGTCAGTCTGATCGATGCTTCTCTGCCTCTGGATCTCTGTCAATTTGTGTTGTTCATTATATTTCACAAATGAGTGTGATCATGTGGTATTTGTCTTTCTCAGACTGGCTTATTTCACTTAACATGATACTCTCGATTTCCATCCATGCTGTTGCAAATGTTAAGAATTCCTTCTTTTTTACTGCAGCGTAGTATTCCATTGTGTAGATGTACCAAAGTTTTTTAATCCACTCATCTGCTGATGGGCACTTAGGCTGTTTCCAAATCTTAGCTATGGTGAGTTGTGCTATGAACATAGGCTCAAAGTTAGTAGTAATCTGAGAGGTGCAAATCAAAACAATGCGGTACCACCTCACACCTGTCAGAATGGCTATCATCAACCAACTGCAAATGTTGGCGAGGATGTGGAGAAAAAAACTCTTATTGCACTGCTGGTGGGAATAAAGACTGGTGCAGCCACTGTGGAGAACAGTATGGAGTTTGCTTAAAAAACTAAAAATGGAACTCCCACTTGACCCAGTTATCCCACTTCTAAGAATATATCCCAAGAAACTAGAAACACGAATCAGAAAGGATATATGCACCCCTATGTTCATAGTTTTTAGTAACTTTTTATTTTTATATTCAAGATAAAGCATGTACACAATTGAATGTGGAAATAAATAACTAGAAATGCTTTGGAAACTTTTCCATTTCTCTCTCCAAACTCAGTTGTTTTATAAACTCATGAGTCTTTTTACTTGATTTTAAAAAATATGGCAACTATAATAGCAAGAAAAAAGAACCACAATTTTGTACAGAAACGTGTAGCCACTTGACTATAGGGTTTCAGCTTAACAACAACAAAAAAAAGCACACCAGACACAAAGACTCTTCAACAAATTTACTCAAACTGCTTCGCTCGAGAAGAAAAGGCACAGATTTAAGGGGATGACAGTGATTATGAAGAATACGGTAAATGGAGGCTTAGCCAGTGACTTTATAAACTAAGTCAAGAAAATGAACTCCTTCCAATGATCTGTCTTCATTAAAATGAACTTTTAAATTAAGCTGTATAAACATATGATATAAAGTTGGTACTCAGGAAGTGTCGTCGTATAGCTCCTTATGTACAAATCTTTGTATACAACTTCAGTGTTCCTTATGCATTTCCTGTAACACACTGAGCCGCAATCCCGAGTCTCCGGGGCCTCTGGCAGCTGCACGGCCCCTGGCTCTGCCAGATAGCAGGGAAATAGGAGGGCCCAGTCAAATGTAATCATCTTCAACTGGCTCTCCATTGACATCACAGTAGTGGATAAAAATTGCCACCACTCGCTGAAACACCCCCTTCTTCATCTGACGCATCTCTGAAATTTCTTCTCCGATTGTCTCCATACAGATGTCTGCTGACAGCTGCCCTTTCCTGCGAGGAGCATAGATGGTGCCTTGGAAATTAGAAAGAAAAGGGAAAACATTATTATCAGATGCATTTGGAAAGCCGCTCGATTAAGCTGGCCCATGAGATATGCCTCAATATGGTCACGCACTGCCATTGAGAAAGGTACCGCTCATGGACTGGGTCCCCGTCAGTTTAGTTACATGCCCCATTTGATGCTAAGACAGCACGCATGCTTAAAGACCGGGGTGGAAATGCCCAGAGAGACTGTCAGTCACAGATGTACATGAGTTTTAAAACCCACTTACTCATCAATTAGTTTTTGAAAACATTTTGCAAGTAAATATTCTAGTATGCTAACAACTAGGACTTCATTCCAAATGTCCTGCAAGCCCCTCTTGCCCCTCCTGAACATCTGCACCTACACTAATAATATAATAATGAGCTAATTACCGGGAGGCCTTCCAGAGACCTTTGGGACAAAGCTGAGGACTTGGCCAGCCTGCAAACCAGCCCCATACCCAGGATAGCCACATCCCTCAGCAGGGAACCCTACCCTGAAGGGGGTGTGGCCAGCTTGAAAACAGCCCTCAGTCCTTAGCCCAGGTTGGCCATGACCCCAGCAGGGACCCTCACCCTGATGGGGGCATAGCCAGCCTGCAAATGGCCCTTAATCCTTTGCCCAGGGGGGGACCCTCAACCCCAGCGGGGACCCTCACCCTGATGGGGATGTGGCCAGCCTGCAAATGGCCATCAGCTCCCTCATCCAGGCTAGCTATGCCTCTGAGCAGGGACCCTCACCCCAATGGGGGCACAGCCAACCTGCAAACGGCCATCAGTCCTTGCCCAGGCTGGCCCTGCCTCCCAAGGGACCCCACCCTGATCTGGAACCCACATCCGGCCCCCACCCGTGCACCAGGCCTCTATCTATACTAATAAAAGGATAATATGCTAATTATATTGGGAGACCTTCTGGACGTTCTTCCAGGCAAAGCCATGGTGGTGGGGCCGAGACAAAGGTGGTTAGGGGCAATTAGGCCACAGGCGGGGAGGCAATGGGAGCGAGCAGGCTTGGCAGGCAGGTGAACGGTTAGGAGTCAGCAGTTCTGGACTGCAAGAGGGATGTCCGAATGCAGGTATTGAGCCTAAACCAGCAGTTGGACATCGCCTAAAGGGTCCCAGATTGGAGAGGGTGTAGGCCAGGCTTAGGGCCACCCTTCACCCCTCACCATGCACGACTTTCATGCACTGGGCCACCAGTCTAAATCACAAGTTCCTACATACTACCTAACAAGGAGTGCTCATAAGTTAGTGTGATGGGAACACATTGGAAACAATATAGTTAACAATAAGGAGTAAAAACAAACAGGTAATAAAAAAAATCTAGGTAGAAAAATCTGCAGGAATCCTTCCTACCAACCTTCAGAGATCCCTAAGATTATTTATTGCTGGGAGAGAACCAAGCAATAACAGAAAACTGATGAAAACATTTATATGGGAAGTGATTCAACAGCCACACTGCTCCCAACTCCCAAACAATCTGTAAGTATCTAACACAGCAGGACACACACAAGCCAGCGAACACAAATCAAGTCAGGTCATACTTACTCTCTTCATCGTCTTCGAAATCGTATCTGGCGAAGCTGTTGGGTTCTGCTGCCCGTAGCGATCTCAACCAGGGGAAGTCAGAAATCATGGAATACGGAGCGCCATCCACAACCCCTGCAAGGAGACAGAGACAGACAGTGCTACTGCTGCGGAGGCAGAACGTAAATGTGCTTCTGTCCCTCCTGGCTGAAAAGCATTGGATCAGTTCTGGTTTTGCTCTAGCTTGGTCACGGGATCTTGCTCACCCTTTGCTGTCATTAAGCCTCAGTATTTTTCTCTCTATATGTCTAAAATAAAGAAGTTGAAACAGGTGCCCTCAAGTCACTTCCAACTCAAACTGTAGCAAGTTTCCATTTCTTTCTATTCTTTGTGTCCACACAGTTTCTGATTACCTTAGGGACGGTAAAGACTCAGATGTTTACCTGGTTCCTGCTACCTGCAGACATTCTAAGCCCCATCATTCTGCCTAACTGTGAGGCTCCCATCCCGTCTTCCCTAAGGCGTGTCTCTCCATGCAGTTAGTCAACAGCTCTTCAGCTTCCCAAACATTAACTGCTCACCTTCTAAAGTATAGATATCTCGGCCCCAGGGGTACTTGGGGTGCTTCTTCAAGTCATCCTCAGTTCGTGAGGCTTCGGGGAAGAATTCATACTTAATGAGCTCTCTAGAGGCAATAAGAAAAATCAAAAGTTATAAAACTGGAAATAATGTTGAGATGTGGGGTAGAAAGGAATTGTCAAAATTGTGCCAGGCCTAGATTCTAATGAACATCTCAAAAATTAAATATTAAATACCTAACGGAAGAAGGGTACACTCAAACTAGAGAATACATATTAAGCCAGGTCAAAAAAAAAACTTTACTATCTTCAAAATTATATCATGTAAAGAAACCACTCTCCAATCAAATAGCTTGTGTGTGGTACTAAATGTTTATATATCAAATGCCTAAACATCAGTTTTAAGATTTTTAATCTGACCTCTTTTTCCATGCCTTAGGGTTAAAAAAATGAAGTCAAATATTCATGTACAGTCTGTTCCTGGAATTTTTTTTACATTTGAAAATAAAAAGCTGCAGATATACATGCATGCTTTTTAATTTTAAGTCCTCATTCACTCAGTTGCTCACATTACATTTCATGCTTCAGCACCTAAAAAGTCCCATGAGATCATTTAAAATAAAGAATGGCTAGGCTTGTTCCCATGGCCCTCCCTCGCAACAGGAACGACTGAAGAGACTGAGTGCCACGGTTACTTACTGATTGATGTTTGCTATGGTGTCCATCCAGCTGCGAATGCGCACCTTGTTGCGCACATTGGGAGGGTTACTGAACTCATGGATAATACAGATGTGGTAGGGGTAGGGGCCACTAAATAGCTTCTGCTCCAACGTCAGTGTATCCACCTATGGAAGAGAGCAGAATGAGCTGTGGGCCAGGGAACAGAATTCCTTACAACTCTATCTCCTAGAGCTTGGACAGTCTTTCCTGGAACCTACATTTTAAATCTCTGGCTGGTTTGAAAATCAAGTATCACATTCAGCCCCGAACATAGCTTGCCATGCAAATTATTCTGTCTTGCAAGCTAAGCAATTTACATTTCTCTGTTAAATAAATGCCTATTAATCAGAGAATCCAGAATTAGGTAACTGATCCCAGGAACCCACATCTGAATATGTCCTCCTCAGGCTCAAGTATTGATTGCCTCGTAGACTGAGTGCGCGGTACCAGATGCCCTTTTCAATCTGGCTGTGGCCTATTCCAGCTGCCTGCCCCCTCGCAGCCCGTGTTCCCATTGCTTTCTTCTCACGGAACGCCTCTCCTCACCTCTCCTTATGAAATCCCATCTGCCATCTTAGTGATATTCATGCCCACCTCCTTCTCAGAAAGACTTGAGGGAAGAGTCCTTTTCAGGCCCGGAATATTAGAGACACTCAACAAGCAGTTTGTTCAAATATCTCTTCTGGGGCCAGACTCTTGACACTGACTAATGATTCCTTTCAGCTTTCTTTAGGCATTGAGCACAGTCTTACATATAATGTTCACTTTATTTTTTGTTTTACTGAGAAATAACTGACACGTCTCACTGTATAAATTTCAGGCACACAGCATGTTGGGCTTGGTTTATGATTTTTATGAAATGATAGGTTCAGCTAACATCCATAATTTCTTATAGGTACAATAAAAAGCTTACTCTTCATAATAATAAAAACAATTGCTACTGTACTACATTTCAGCAACTGCTTAGCATTTCACACGTCTGAAGTCAATTAACCATCACAAGAATTAGGTGTTTATTCTACTTTTACAGACCGAACTAAGACAGAAGTTAAGTAATCAGCTACAGGTCAGTGAACCAGGATTTGAATCGGGCAGTCTGAAACAGTCATGTTGAGTAATAGCTACCTTCATCACAGAACTTGCTAAAAATCCACAGAGATCTAGCAGAGAAGCATAAGTGAAGATCGGCAAAATCTTCTAGCTAGATTAAAAACGCTGCAGAATCTAAAAAATCATCTCTGTGGGTTGAGCATGTGAACATGCCAAATCCACAAAAGTTGAAGACTAAGAAAAAATATCCCTGCAATACATGTGTCATCAAAAAGGGGCCGAGCTTGGTACCTGCTGCATTGGGCGTAGGTATATGATGCGGTTTCTCTCAGGAGGCATCCGCAGTATCTGGTCTAGTACCTGATCCATGTTCAGTTTCTTGCATTGTGCATAGTCAAATCGGTTTACAAGTGGTGCACTTTCTACTTTTAAATGTTTCAGCACCCTGCACCTGGTAGCTACAAAATAAAAACAATGGTAAGCTCTACAAATAATTTATGCAAACTAATAGAGCAATGTATGGCCTATTGACATCATCTTTGGAGGATTGGCCCAGCTTCCATAGCATAAAATACCACAGATGTAATAAACATCTTTAACAAAGGTCACATAATGTCACAAAGTACAACTGACAGTTATCACAATAATTTGAAAATGTTATTCCATCCTGTTTAAAAGAAGGTGGTCATTCATATATATGCTAGAGGGATGTTAAACTCTTTTTCTATTTAAGAGTTTACTGGCAAGTAATCTTAAGACCCACAGAATAAGTTGCATAAACACAGGAATTATTCAGGAAACATTTACGGAAAAGAATGAATGATGGGATTATTAAATTCCAAAATATTATGGGTCATAATCAAACGAACCTGGAATAATTGACATATATTACCTTACAGTCACCCACAGAAAATGAGAAGAGTTGATTTTAACTCCCACTGTAGGTATAAAAGCAGAACCTTAAAAGACCCAGAAGTATTTGTATGTTGGTCTAAAGCTGGACCACTAGCCACCTGCAGCTATTTAAATTTAAATGAACTAATATGAACAACCCAGTTCCTCCAGCACTAGCCACAGTTCAAGTGTTCCACAGTCACATGTGGCCGTTGGCTATCATATCCAACAGTACAGGGATAAAATAGTATGCCTCGTTAAAAAAAAAAAAAATCTTTTTCCAATCTCAACTTTCAATCTGTTCCATTTTATCCAGATTTAAACCTGGTCCAACTCAGGAGATGATACTATAAAACTACAAGGCTGATATGCCTCATCTTAACTCTTTTTTTTTTTTTAATTGATTTTTTTTTTTTTACAGAGAGGAAAGGAGAGGGATAGAGAGTTAGAAACATCAATGAGAAAGATTGATCAGCTGCCTCCTACACACTCTTCACTGGGGATGTGCCCGCAACCAAGGAACATGCCCTTGACTGGAATCGAACCCGGGACCCTTCAGTCTGCAGGCTGATGCTCTATCCACTGAGCCAAACTGGTTAGGGCTGATCTTAACTCTTTAAGGGCATCTTCTATAACACCTTTAACCAAAATGTCATCATCATCCTGAGCAATCTGGCCCTGTCACGAACTTGATGTTTGAATAATGAGCAAGTCTCCAGCCTTTCAGACTCATTTCATCCTGTGACATGGCAGGACAGGAAAGGAGGAAAGACAGAAAGAGGATAGATGGTGATAAGGGTTCAATGGTCCTCTGCTGTAAACCTAGACAGGGCGAGGTCGGTTCTAATCTCACTTAGTCATCTCAGCCACCATAATTTAACTCACTAATCTAAGGTCCTCTGTCCCAGGAGCTGAAGAACTATTTGGTTTAAGGGCAAAAGGCTGAGCCTGAAAGTCACGTGATCCATCTCTACTTCACAGAAGATACAGGGAGAGTCCAGTGAAGAGAAAACCAGTCAGAATCTCAGAGCACTCATAGAAAAAGGAATGAAAAGTCAACCCCCAGAGAAGAAGGTAGATTCTCAGACCTCAGAGATGCAAGCATTGCTATCTTAAACTAGGCTGGGTCCCCCTGCTATTAAGATTGTTTGAGCTTTTAAAGGGCTCCTATTCTATTTCAGGAGGATACTACAATCTATATATATAAAACCTAATACCCAAATAGACTGAACAGAACTGACCGGTTGCTATGATGTGCACTGACCACCATGGCCCATGGCGTGCGTTGGCCACAGTGGGGTGGTAAAGCAGGTGAGGGGGGGAAGCATCAGGCCAAGGCAGGCCACCGGTCGCTGTCATTGGGGCAAGCCTCTGGGGGTTACTGAAAATTCTTTGCTCCTGTGCGTAACGGTCCTGCCCAGCACAAGCACCTACTGCGGGCGCTGGCCCGCTCTCACCACTGTCAGCGCCTGGTGCCGGCCCCAATCGCTCTGCACCATGAGCAAGCAGGGCGGTGCTGTCAGTGTGAGAGATTGGCATTGGTGGGAGCAGAGCTGCCAGCAGACAGGGGAACAGGGGCCATGGTGGGAGGGGCCAGGCAGGGACACAGAGGATGGGCCAAGACCTGCCCCTGTGCCTACTGCAGCCTGCGGTGCACAGTTCCTTTCAATGTGCACGAATTAGTGCACTCAGGGGTGGGGGGGACAGGACGTCCCTCAACCCAGCTTGGGCCCTCTTGCAGTCCAAGAGTCCTCAGGGGATAGGCTACTGCCACAGAGGCAGGAGACTCCCACCACCACTGCTGCGCTTACCAGCCATGAGCCTGGCTTCTGGCTGAGCGGCACTCCCTATGTGGGAGCGCACTGACCACCAGAGGGCAGCTCCTGCATTGAGCGTCTCCCCCTGGGGGGGTCAGTGTGCATCATAACAACCAGTTGTTCTAATGTCAGGCTGAAACCGGCTCTCCAACATCTCCCAAGGGGTCCTAGATTGCGAGAGGGCGCAGGCCAGGCTGAGGGACCCCACTGGTGCATGATCAAGGCCAGGGAGAGACGTGGGAGGTTGGCTAGACAGGGAGGGACCCTAGAAGGGCTCCAGGGTGTGTCCAGCTCATCTTGTTCAGTCCTGATTGCCTGGACCCCAGCAGCAAGCTCACCTACCAGTCGGAGTATCTGCCCCCTGGTAGTCAGTGCCCGTCATAGAGAGCAGTTGAGTGGTCTTAGCATATCATTAGCACCTTACACTTTGACTGGTTGAATGGCTGACCAGACAACTGAACACTTAGCATATTAGGTTTTTATTATATATGATTAGATGTTTCAAGACCTCATTGGTTGGAACAGAGAAAAGTATCACCTCTTCAGGGTGAAAATGAATCTAGGGTTCCCAGGTGTGGTGTTTTCTAGAATTCAAGAGAGTGGTTAAGTGTTTAAATGTTTTATTTCTCCTTTCTAAGATTCACCTAGTATATGACAAAATGTTTGGTAAGGATTTTCTTGTTCTGTTCACTACCAGTATTACAGAAGAAGTACAAAGAAAAGAAAGCCCCTAATTATTTTCTTTGCAATACTAATGTAATAGAAATTAACATTTACTAGGCTTTTACTAGAGGTCAGACCCTCTATTGTATGTGTATATGTTATGTACATATACAAACCCACATATCAATCACTGCATTTAACCTTCATAAGTGCTTTATAAGGTAAGCATAATCATGCATACTTCACATACTGGGGGGAAAAATAACCCACAGAGACGAGTCAGAACCTCATAATTTTGCATGGATAGATATCAAAAATATAATTTTGAGTGCAATGGAAAAAATTCTTCAGATCATGTAAAGGACATATCATGTACCTAGAATTTTAAAAGCCCACACAAAATAAAATCCTACTATTTTTTCAGAGATAAACATGTATACAAGCATATACATGCAAGGATATGTATTAAATACACAAGCATAAATGGAGGGAGCCAATGGGATGGCAAAGAGGGGCAGGGAACATGGAACTACAAAAAAAGCGGGGCTTGGAATAATGACAATATGCCAGGAACTGAGGTTATGTTTCATCATGTCAACCAACTCCAGAGCAGTTAGGCACTTAAGGCTCAGTTACCGCTTCCCCCAGATCACCTGCACACAAAACATGTCCGACATCACAAAGCTAGCAAACGGCAGAGATAGGCCCCTCACAAATATTACTGAGTAATTATCTGAGAACTACAGAACAAGGACAGAATTAGATATAATCCAACACGATTCCTTTATGAATCCTTAATTCTTTAAACTCCTTCATGATGCTCTTGTATGACATGGGCCCAAATACATACCATGGATGAACATCATCTTGGGACAGTCTTTTAGCACCAGATCTGTGATTCCACAGTTGGTCATAGTGACTCCAACAAGATTTTTGGACTTTAACACAAGGACCTATGGAGGAGAAAATTTTTTTGGTTAGATGTCTTTTTCTGTACTTTCTTTGGAGAATGTAAATGTTTTCATTGGCACAAGTGAGAAGCCATTGTTACCAATTCCTTCTATTTAGGGTACAAATAGTATATAAAAATGGAAAGTTTAGTTCCTTTACAATATTCAGGACCTTGGCTGGCCTGAAAGGTAAGGGAGGGCTTTTTCTTCACCTGCACATGGTCATCCTCAATCACAGGATCACTGGTACTGGTGGACTTATCTGCTGTCCGCTTCCGCTTCATGGTATGCCGTGTCTTTGTTTTAGCAACTTCTAGAGAAAGCAAGAGGAACATGGTCCCCAATGGAATACAGTCAGACCACTACTTCCAACTGACTGTTCCCAAACAAGATCACCTCCATTACCTCAAACAGGGTATCCTTTTCATCCCTGGGGCATTCTGACAATCTAAGGAACATTCCCATCTCTAGTCACTCAGACCATCTGGAATATTATTGGTGGATTAAACATACCAGTTTTCTGCTAGACAACTGTAAGTTCTCGACTACATACATTTCAATGCCTGACATCTGCAGCTATGCTCCGGCTCCACCTGTTCAGTTTTTTTTAAAAATATATTTTATTGATTTTTTACAGAGAGGAAGGGAGAGAGATAGAGAGCTAGAAACATCGATGAGAGAGAAACATCGACCAGCTGCCTCCTGCACACCCCCTACCAGGGATGTGCCCGCAACCAACGTACATGCCCTTTACTGGAATCGAACCTGGACCTTTCAGTCCGCAGACCGACGCTCTACCGCTGAGCCAAACCGGTTTCGGCCACCTGTTCAGTTTTATTCCACACCATTGTCCATTGCCAATGCCTCTAACACTATTAACCATTCTAGCTCCATCTGCCCAGAACAACTTTCCAGACTTCACTTTTGAAAATACTACCTTTCCCTGAAAAGACCATCTCAAATGCTACCTGCTCTAACAAATCACCTGGATTTCCAAACCTGTTTTGTTTCTCTATTTAAACTTAAAGCTCTTTGAAGGCAATATTACTGCCTTATTTCATTTTCGTATTAATGTCAGCTATTAGCAATGAGCTAAAATAAACATTCATTGAATGAATGGCACTCAGCATTCATTGAATGAATGAATGCATTAGAGCAGCAGTCACCAACCGGTGGTCCACAGACCACTGGTGGTCTGTGAAGGCCGAAAGGTTGGCGACTGCTGCCATTAGAGATACGGTAGGTAGAATAATAATGACAGCAAATATTTACTGAGCACCTTCTCCGTATCAGACACTTTTCTAAGTTTTTTTTAACAACAGCCTTTTGAGATAGATTTATTATTATCCTTATTTTACAGATTAAGAAAGTGAGACATGGGAAGCTTGTGAAGGTATAACTGGTAGAACCAGGAGCAAAACCCAGGTAATCTAGTGTCAATCACTAAGTTAGAAAACTTGTAATTCTTTATCTTAACTGGTTGGTAAGGCCCTAAACTGATTTGCTAGTATTGTTATAAAACATTAACTCGCCAAAACTGGTTTGGCTCAGTGGTAGAGCATCGGTCTGCGAACTGAAAGATCCCAGGTTCGATCCCGGTCAGGGGCATGTACATTGGTTGCGGGCACATCCCCAGTAGGGGGTAGGCAAGAGGCAGCTGGTCAATGTTTCTCTCTCATTAACGTTTCTAGCTCTATATCTCTCTCCCTTCCTCTCTGTAAAAAAATCAATAAAATAAAAAAAAGATACATTAAAAAACAAACAAAAAAAACCATTGTTTAACTTGCAAAGCAAATATGGTCTTAAATACAAGTTCTAAATTCATCTCTAAAACTTAACAAGCACATATATATTCTAAATAAGACTCGGAAAGTCAGTCCTACTTTTTGATATTCATTCTGTAGCAGAGCAGACACGGATGAAGTAAGACTGAGCTTCATGAATGAAATCCTACCATATTGCTCTTTCACACACCACTACTAGACTACAACACTCCACATGGTAACTCTTCAACTTCAGACATGAAAGATTCCTAAAAAAGGTAGGGAAACAAGGTGCAAATGTTGCAAATTCCGAAAGGCTTGGGATTAGATGGGAACTCTAAATAGTCTAAGTGTGTGTTTTTTTACATACCAGAACCTTTCCTCCACCATCTGAAACCTTTGGGGAATTTTACCATGCAAAACAACTGAAATCAGCTGCTTTGGATGAAGCTTAAAAGGGAGCCCAAGAGTTCTTTCTACCGATCAAACTTCCTAAAATGACCGAGAACCCAAGCAAAGCCCAGAGGTTCTGGGAAAACATAAAAACTATTGATCTAGGCAACCCAGTGAAGGTTGCATCCCACAGTATCCCATTCCTTTGTGACAATTTCAGAGCAGAATCTTCTATTAGCATTCTCCTTTCACAATTTTCAAACTCTCACGTTCCTGGATTGCTCTCTCCCCTCCTCTTTAATTCATTAAAATATGTGGTTTAAAGTTAAATCTCCTGCTCTCTAGAGTGCCCACATTGGCTGCTTATGTTTCCCAAGAAAAGTTATAAAACTAAATCACACTTTATAAACCGATTTTCTTGAAAACAAAGACTTCCCAATGTAAAAGGAAAAGAGAGTTCACCTTGTTATTTTCTTACTCCACCTTCTTTGTTTAGGAAAAAATGTTAGTGATTTCATACATCACAGCGATTTCCAACCTTACTCATCTTATGACACATACAAATATCTAAAATTCTGCAGCACACCAAAAATGTATTTTTGCTGACAAAAAGATGGGTATAATTCTGATTCATTCACACTAAATGGCTAGTGTGTTGGTTGTTGTCAATTTTAACTTGACAACCTTAGGGAAAAGAGGTCAGTATCCCTGACTAAATAGGTATTGCTTATTTTAAAAATTCTTGCTATACTGGTTAAAAATCGTTGATCCACCAGTACCAACATACTTCAAATGATGGTTCCTACCACTGAATAAGTTCACAATTATTCACTGAACCCCATTATTCTAGAAGCTGGGCAAATAATAGTGAACAAACAGACATTGTCCCTGCCCCGTAAAGCTTATAGTCTATTGGAAAGACAGTAAAACACAAAATCACAACATAGTGTAGTTAATATTAGAAGGTGCTACAGAAACACAACTGGGTTGCTAAAGCAAACCAATCCAGTGTTAAGTGTCAAAGAAAGAAGTTAGTATTTTATGAGAACCACACCATATCAATCCTAAATGTTATTCTTTGACAATCCAATTAGTCAATTTTGTAATATTTATTTTATAAAGCATTATACAATGAAGATAAAAAAAAAACTTAAGAGTTTTTTATTATCAAATAGGAATTTACAAGACAAATAACTATATAGCTTCTAACATAGTTTTAACACTACATAAGGTCATAAGTTGAAAACTAAATAAAAAAACTCAAATGTTTTCTTTAAAGTAACTTTTTTAAAATCCGTCACACTCAATCAAGTTTGTTCCTTTACGAGTTGGATTTTTTCTCCTTAAAACTTTTAAAGCATGATGGCTGATAAGACATTAAAAAACATGCTAGATTAAAAATAAGATGAAAGCCATCTAAAAAAACTACTTTTCCTCTCCAAAAGATCTGGATAATATTAAAAGCAGCACTTTGACATTTCTCCAGAAAACTGTTATTGAAAATAAATAATCAACCTAAGGACTTGTATGCATGTATATAAGCATAACCAATGGACACAGACAGTATGGGGATGAGAGCAGGTCCTGGGAGGTGGGAGCGTCTGGGGAGAGATCAAAGGACACATATGTAATACTTTCAACAATTAAGATCTTAAATTAAAAAAAAGTAAATGGACATTTATATTGTGTGTAAAAAATAATAGAAAATAATTAACCTACTATTTACACATCAGCTACATACATGAGAAGTCTTCTCAAATTAAAAAAAAACACACAAGATAACAAATGTAATTTACTTAAAAAGTAAAAAGTGCTGTAAGAAATCTATTTTTTTTTTTTAATTTTGGGGAATTATTTAATCTAAGAAAAAGTTCTAGTCACAAATCAAGTCAGAAGAAAACAGTAAGAGGGATAGCAGAACACAAAACAAAAAAGAAGTCAAAGTCCCCTATCTCCCTATGGTTAATATAAAAGATCTATGCTAAAAACAAAAATAATACAAACCAAAACCTCCAAAATGGTAACTATAAAATTTTACGGGAGACATAGACAAAATAGGAGAGAAAATAAGTTTTGAAATATGAAATCTCAGTGCTGCAAAAATGACAATTTTTTCAGTCAATATAACAGAAATCCAAACCAAAACAAGATTTGCTTTTAGAGCTTGACAAAATTATTTTAAAATACAACTCAAAAAGTAAATGATAAAATATGACTAGTCAAGGAAATTTTGACAAATAATGAAAGAGAATAGAACAATGGAATAGAATTGAATGCCCAGAGACAAACAAGTGTATCAAAGAGACAAAAGAGCACTTCAAAATAGTGACACGAGCATGGATGTCAATAAATTGTACTGACACAACCTGGTGACAGTTTGAAATAAAATATCAAGTTAGTTCCCACAGATTAAAATAATAAACAAAAAATGAATCTAAAAATGCGGAGATGTGAACATTTGAAATAGTTGTAGGAAAGGCCTTCCATACCATAAAAACAAAGGGGAAAAAAACACATAAAAGTAAACACATAGATCTGACTTTACAAATGAAAAAAATGGAACAACAAAAGTGTCCTAATGGGAGTTTCAGTTTAGTGGGGAGTTGCTGTGTATGGGCACAGAATTTCTGATTCGAATGATGAAAAGTTCAGATGGATGCTGATGATGGATGCAATATATGAACACACTTAATGCCAATGAACTGCATATTTCATTGGTTAAAATGGTAAATTCCCATTATTCTTAAAAAAAATATCATAAAGCATTTAAAATTCAAGCTTTAAATTCAAGGAAAAAAGTATTTTCATCATATGACCAAACTAGCTTCTGCAAAGCTTAATGAAATCTTTAAATAAAACTCATATATTGTATATGTTTTAATATGTTTCTGCTACTATGAGAATTGGCACGTAATTAAGTTCTCATATTTATCTTATAAAAGCTTATTTTTGTTATTTTAATTCCATATGAAGCAATCAGGTCTACTTAGAATATAAAAAAAATCAATTCTATATCTTGTGGAGGATTGAATTTTTAAATTGAGGGAAACTTGGGTAAAATTAAAATACATTATTAGTGGCCTGGAGCACGAAATTCATGCATGGACTAACCACTCACCTACCTGCCTGTCTGATTGCCCCTAACCCTTCTGCTTGCCCCTAACTGCCCTCCCTTGCCGACCTGAACTTGCCCCCAACTGCCGTCCTGTTCTCACCCTCAACTGCCCTACCCTGCTGGCCTGGTTGACCCCAAATACCATCCCCTGCCGGCCTGATCTCCCCCCAATTGCCCTTCCCTGCCCGCCAATTTGGTTCTGATTGGTTGGTTTCTATGCCAGTCAACATTAAAAGCTTTGCCTCTTAGGTAGCCATTGGCTCCTCACAGTTCACCCAGATTTGGTTCTGACTGGTCAGCTTCTCCGGGCCTATCTCTGGGCCTGTTTAGAGAGGAGGTGCTGATCAGCAACCCCTGCTGGTGAAGCCCAGAGAGAGAGAGGCAACAGCAGATTAGCAGCTGCCATAGAGACTGCAGATCAGACCCTGCCTCTCTCTTCGGCCTCTTCTGGGCCTGATCCACAGCCCCCTTGGCAATCAGTGCTGGGTCGCCACACCTGCAGCGGCAGCAAACCAGCACTGACTGCAAATATGACATCCAGTGTTCAGTGGAGCCTTCAGTTGGTCATTATGGACCCTGGGTTTTTATATATTAGGATTCATTTATGAATGAATTAAGTCATGAGCACATGACTTAATACAGAGGTAACTTAAAAATAAGGTCTGATATAAATAGAATTATGACTAAGAAATGTACTCACCCCATTCAACTCAATTCCTTAGTGTTCATATTATAAATATTAATGAAATTATATATGAGTATAACTTTACCAAAATAATCCTCAGCTAAATTACTTACCTGCTTATATCCTGGCAAATGTAACTAGAAACAAAACTACACTTCAGAAAAAATTACTAGGTAACTAGTGGCAGATAGAGGGGTATATCCATACATGCTCCCAAAGCCCCAGCAACTTCAGGTCCTTACCTTCTGGCTAAGGTTCAAAATTTCACCCACAATAAGATTTCCCTAAGCATGGGATGGCAGTAGAGGGTTAGCTATTGGGGATTACACATCGGAATCAGTGTTGTGTTTAGGGGAATAAACACGGTAATACTTTTTTCTTAGAAACAACTTCTTGAGTTTGTCTGGGTTGGCTGCTTTACAAGCTGTTTTACACACCCTCCCCACACCCCCCATCACTGCTAAAAATTAGCTCAAATCTGTAGGATCCCAGAACACCAACATAGAATTAATTTGCCCCACTGGATTTATGTAGGAAAACGTGTGGAATGAGCTAATGCCCTTCTCCAGTCCTAACCTGCAGTTGCTAGTCCTGGCAGCATTGTCATACCTGACTCAGATACCAGCGGTACATGGGAGAGTCTGCTCCTGGCCCTTGTTAGGGGCCTCCGAGGGTAGTCTTCATTAGACTGCACGTCACAGCTCTCAGGCTGGGAGCTCCCCCTCCTGTCCTCACCTGTAGCCCCAGAGCCACTCCCATTAGTCCTCTCATCATGTGCTGGGCCTGAAGACCCCCCTTGTGGCAGAGTCCTAAAGGAAAAGGCGGATCTCGTACCATCCGGGCCATTCACAACACAGGCTCGGCTGGTTGAAGGACGTTCCTCATCAGAACACCTGCTAGTTCTCCTTTGGGATTCCTGGGGCCTGTGACAGGAGCATCTGGGGCAGACAGAACTCTCTGCATTTCCCTCCTCCATGGAGTCCTCTGACCCAGCAGGGGAGCAGACACACTGCCTGGACACATCCGCTTCTGCAGGGCTAGGCTCGGAAGAGCCGCTGCTGTTCACCGTCCTTACACAGTCAGGGCTTTGAGAAGCATTGCTGAGTGAGCTGGAGTTTCCCACTGTGCTGGCGGAGGTGCTGCTGCAGCTGGGATACGCATCCTTGTTTTTTTTCTTTTCAGGAATGTCCCTAGCTGCTTTCATATCGGCTTTGATCTGCTCACTGGTGACCTGACAGCCTTTCTCACAGCTGCTTTCCTCGAGGGGAAACTGCTTCGATTGGCCCATCTGATGGGAGTTGTACCTCTTTCGAAGTGGAGTCTTGCCTTTTCCACTTACTGCTTATAGAAAAAGAAGAATGGCCCAAGGAAAAGAAAAGATTTCAGTACAAATTCTGGACAAAAGGCAAGAATAAATTTGGGACAGGAAATAACGTACACTAATTTTCCTAAAGTATAATGGTGACATCACTCAGTTACTAAAAAATTCCCTATGGCTCTCTAGTGCTTTCTAGGTTTATATTCCTCAGTTCAGCTTTCAAGGCTCAGTATGATGATTCCATACTTACATTTTATTCTTCTCCCCTCTGTATACATTCTATAACCCAGCCCATACTTTCCCCCAACTATACCCCTGCCTTACTCCCTCAGGGCCTTTGTTCGCATCAATTCTTCAGCCTTGGACCTCTTGTGCAATCTGTTCTGCACCCCCACCCCCATACCACTGTAATACACTCCCCGTGGTATTATTATACATGTTTCAGACCTGACACTTCAACCAGACTAGAGGTTCCCCAGAGAGATCATGCCTTACTCATTTCTATCCCTCATGGCATCTAACACAGTTCCTGGGGCACAGTAAGGCTCAATGAATATAAAAAGGGTACATAAAAACAAATCATGTTTTATCAGGCTGGCAGAAGACCTAGTTTCTACATTCAGAAACTGAACTTTCTAGGAAACCTAAGTTAACCAGCTAGTCACATTACTCCTAATTTCGGTTTCCGTTAAAGCTCCTTTCAACCACAGTGTAAAGATATCTGATTTTCTTAAAAGGCATAAAATAAGGATTGTGTGATTAGTCAGTGTTGAGTAAATTTCCCAAGTCTAAAGAACTGAGCTTTCCATACCCAGAAGTGTGTGTGTGTGTGTGTGTGTGTGTGTGTGTGTGTGTGTGTATATATATATATATATATATATATTTTTTTTTTTTTTTTTTTTTTCAGGTTTTAGGTTAAATGTCTAATGAACTATGCATTCAAACATATAAAGGAGAGAGTACCCAAGAAAAAATGAGTGGAGAATTTTAAAACCTCATCCTTTGCTGAAAGTGGTAAGCATATGGTTCTGAGAAATAATAGGGAAGGAAAGACAAGGAAGTAAGAACCTAAATATTAAGAAAATTATAGTTTTCTGATGAAGCAAATGGCAGACGGCTGTGGACCAGATTTGAAGAGGCAGGGGATTATAGGAACATACTTAAAAGGATTCCCCAAGCACCAAACCAGCCACCAACATTCACTAAGCACAACTGGACAGGTTATGAGCTGGGGAATGTCTGTGTGTTCATTGCTCTGCATGGTTCATTGACTAAGCCCTCTCTAACCCCTAACCCCTTGACATCACCACTTCCTAAAAGCCTAGCAGTCACAGTCCCCACATCTGTCTTTTCTTCCCAGAGCCCTGACTCCACAATATTTTTGTTGTGCTTCACTCGCCCTAGATAGCACACCCGGATTGCACTCTCCCTTGGGCTACTGCCTTTCCTGCTCCTGTCACATTTCATAAGGAAATGTGAACTGCACCGCAAGCCAGGATGGGGCATCTTATATAAATAAAGGCCATGAGTGTCGGTTCTCATGACTCTCACTAGTAGGTCAGGGCATGACAAAATTTCTCACCTGACAATTCCCTGGACTGCTCTGACTCTCTCTTTTTTTCTTCCCGCTCAGAGTAACGCCGAGGACCATTCTTAGGAATCCAGACTTCTTGGAGCTCTAGACTATCTTCCTCATCATCACTCTCTGAATCATGAACAGTAATTGGAGTTGGTTTTACTACACGCTGAAGACCACTGGGTCCTAAAACAAAAAGCACAGGCGTAAGTTATTTTTTTGCCCAAGAAAAGCTCTCATTCTAAGTATTGTTTCTAGGAACTTGGGCTCACACACATGCTTTGGCTCTATGGAGCCTCCCTTATCACTCATTTTAAATGGAATATACCCTAGCATGAGATACTGTGAAAGCACTTTAACTCTAAAGCATTATATAAACATTAAGTATGATTAATATGTCAACACACTTTATACATTTCTAAGGACAAATTAAAACAGATTATATGGTCTCTCCCTACAGGATCGTCACTATTTGAAAATGTCACATAAGCCATCCTCACCATTGTTGCCAATGGTTACAACATCGGCCCATACACCAAAGGGTCTGGATTCGATTCCTAGTCAAGGGCACTTACCTGGGTTTCAAGTTCACTCCGACCAACATTTGGGGTGCATGTGGGAGTTAACCAGTCAATGTGTGTCTCTCAGCATTGATGTTTCTCTCTCTTTCTTCCCCTCCCTTTCTCCTCCCCCTCTCCTTATCTCCATGAAAAGCAATGGAAAAAACATCTTCAGGTGAGGATTAGAAAAGAAAAAATCATGTAAGTCATGCTAATATAATCAAAGTAATAGTCATGATAATCATTTTTAAAATAGGCTGTTTTTCCAATTTTGCAAATGTACAAAGAAAGCAAAGGAAATGAAGATGAACCTCAGACACCTATGGGACTCTCTGCATCCTTTAACGGAATATAGATCTATCTCATTGGATGCACCTAAAGACTAGCTGCACTGTTACAGTTTGGTTGAATATTTACAGGTATGTAAAGAATGTTTAACCTGCTTAGCACTACACACAGTAAATCCTTAGCTTCTATGAGCCAATTTTCTCTGGAGAGTGACTGATATTCGCTCCATCAATAAAATGTAAGCTCCAAGGAACCTTGCCTATCTTTTTCCTGTTAATATTGTACAATTCCTAGCAAAGAATAGGCACTCAGTATTAGTTAAGTGACTGCATCTGTAAGACACTTAAAATAGGGTAAACATATTTTCAACTCAAAGACAACGTAGCCTTCCAATAGATCAGGAGTGAAATAATTTTAGTTATAATATCAATTCTGTCCTTTGCTCATTGGCTGAGTGGTCATGGGCAAAAACTTTCAAACTTGTGGAAGAATATTAGTTTCCCTACTGCAAAATGAAGGATGATATTAGATCATCTTTAAGGGCCTTTGACTATAGCCTGCCATAGTCAACCAGAGCAGAAGATTAGATCTTGATCTATTTACTAAGCCAGGTCAACTCTCCATTGCTTCCCCTCAACACCAAAATGAAGGGAGAGGAGAAGCAAAATATTTGGTCAGGTCATTTATTTTCCCATCAACAATTTGAGTGCTTTCTTTCTCTACACACACACACACACACACACACACACACACACACACACACACGGCATGTGCCAATAAAGTTGTCACAGTTACAAAAAATTAAGAGCAAACTTTAGTAAAATATATATACAAGTAGCAAGGAGGACCCAAATATAATATAGTCCTCAGTAATAAATAACAGGATCATTAGCCGTAATGTAAAAAAATAAAATTAAAATTAAATTAACCATTCTTAGTGTTTTACTTCATTAGTCTGGCCCTAGTTTTCCCAACCATGACTGTGGGAAGTCACATGATTACCTGCTTGTTCCTCATCAACATCCACAGGAAGAACTGCCTGACTGTGAGCTGGAGTCTCATGTCCACTCTCAGCCATCACCTCTCCATCTTCTCGCACCATGTCTTCCATCTCATTCAATGCTTAAATAAAAATAAACAAAGTCAAACCAGAAAAGGTCTAAGAAAACCACAAAGGCAGCCCAAACAGGCACCCCTGAGAAATGAACACGCCCCTGATTATTAGGCCCACGTTGGAAAAATATCATAAAATTGTGCTTCACTATATATATTAACTTTAACAAGAAGTGGCCAACTGTTCTGTAGGAGAGGAGGGATCACTTAGTGAAGAAAGCCCATTACTGTAAGATGAAAGCAGGAACGAAGGCACACAGCTGAGAGAAAACACCATTTTCATTCCTGAAGATGCTATCAGAGATGGCTGTACTAGGCAACTGTTTGTCTCCTTCTATTTGGTATTAGATCATCTATTAGATGCTATTTGCTTAGAGGGAGACAAAAAGGTAGGAAGAGCCACCTACTGGAACACAAACAGGTAGGAAGAACCACCTACTGGAAGACCTTAGGATCATCTTATAAGCAATTAGTTTCATAGTACCTGCCAGCTAATCCAGGATGTTCTGGGTAGGCAAGCTCAAATTGTGTTTCCTTTCCTAAGCCCTAGAGCCTCTGGTATCATTTTTGGCTAATGTGTGGCAAGGGTTACTAACAAATACGCTAAGTACATTATTGACATTTTAATAGCATGCAAATGTTTAATTTGCAACAAAGTCTTCACTACAGTTACTAGAGCCTATCTATTTATATATATAAAAGCCTAAGCAACTGAACAACCGGTTGCTATGACGTGCATTGACCACAAGGGGACAGATGCTCAACACACAGGATTGGGCTCCCTCCTGTCTGGATTGGGCCTGCAGGGTTTGGGCTAAAATCAGCTTATTTCGAGACGGTGCAGGCCAGGCTGAGGTACTCCACTGATGCACAATTCTGTGCACCAGGCCTTTAGTCAATAAATAAAAATGTGTACTTTTATATTTTTTCCAGAAGATAAGCACAGTGAACAATTTCAGAATACTAAGCTTCAATCAGTTTACTATAACTACTAAAGTTTCAATCAGTTTACCAGTCTTAAGATAAAATGGTCACTTTTCTAAGAGGACTGTAAATAAAAAATTGCTAGCTTTGCTAGCTTTTTAAAATTAAATCCAAATCCCTCAAGTCAGTATTCTGGGCACTCAATCCAGTACCCCCTTAATCCCTAAATCTGTGTGCCTGATCTCAGTTTGAGTCAAGATAATACCAATACTATCCTACACCTTTACAGCTCAGGCTCAACTCAGAGGACAGCAGATGTCCACCCTGTTCATCACTATATCCTCAATGCTTAAGATGTTCAATAACTACTGCTGAGAAATCAACCATCCAACCAAAAGAGAATCTGGTTCCTTATAGAATCTACTTAAGAGACAAGCCAAATGAATGCAAGCTGATGAAGCTAAATACAGCAGGGTGATAAAGAGTAGATGGCTTTGCTTCATTATGGGGTTGGTCCAAAACTCATTAGAGGCCCATGTGTGAAAAGTTTTAAAATTCTACATTAAGGAAAATAAACATGTCAATCCAAATTTTAATCTAACTTTACAAATAATGCTAAATTTGCACCTAGAGTTGAAGCATCAATGTTAGTCATACCAACTAATTCTCATTGATCCCTTTTAATTTTGAATCTTTGTGTCACTTTTTTTTCTACTTGCTCAGCCTTTCACAGCACAAGATCACAAGATTTCTGATTTGATAAGACTGTACCTCAAATATCTGGTTTGTGTATAAGTTCCACACAAACTAAAAGCTTAAGTTTCTATGTTAGTATATTTGAGTTCCATTGTTCTCTCTTAAATCAACCACAGTGTTCTTAAACATATTTTGATCCTTGCTGCATTAATAAGGGATTCACAATGGAAGGCATTTTCCATTATGCACCGAGAAACATATGGCCAAGTAACTTTCCAGTGGAGTCTAGAATCTGTCTGGTAAGTTAACACCAACCACAACTGGATTCAGAGGGTTTGGGTGGTTCTGTACTACAGCTGTTGTCAGTGTCCCATGGATGGTCTGTGTTCTCTGAATTCCAGATCCTTATGGTGCCAGTGACCAGTATGATGACACTCAGGGACCACAAGACAAAGGAGATAATACCTAATCTCACCTCACTCCCTCTCCTTAGTTCCTAGCACCTTCCGCTCTGTACTTTTTTTTTTTTTTTGGGGGGGGGGGGGGAGTGATTGTAAGGGGGGACAGGAGTTGCAGCAGATATTTAGCTATAGGTTTGAAATGTCTAAGAGTAGTTAGGTGGAAATAAAACAAATAAAGCCAGATTAACTGCAATATTTCAAAAAGTAAGAAGATTAAGGTTGGCACAAATGGTTTAGAATTCATTAGTTGGTATGGAAGCCATGAGACTGAATGAGCTCATGTAGAAAAAAATGTTTAGTGAGATCAAGAAAAAATGTGGAATAGAGCAAATGGTGCAAGGAAAGAAAACTGAGCAGGCATGTCCAATGAGATAGGAGGAAAACCAGAAAAATGGTTTCAGAGATGACAAGAAAATATCTCAGGAAGGTACAAGTGGGCAACAATGACAAATGCTGCTGAGATGTCAACTAAGATGAAAGTGGAGAAATGACTACTGGCTTTTGTTAAGAGTCACTATTGACTTTCAAGAATCAAAATGGAGAGTTGTTTAGAGAATGTGTGAGGTAGGAAAGGGAAGACAATGTCTATAGATGATTCCTAGATGAGGGGATGCATACAAAAGAGTGATCCTAAAGGAAGTCACTCTCTATACACAGTATGCTTTCATTATCAAAGCAGTTACATACCATCAGGGCTCTTTGTTCTCATTAATTACTGTGCCCATAAGAATGCGTGAGGGGGCAACAGATGGCTGGAAGAGATTCTTCCCTGGTTCTTTTCTTTTTAAAAAAATATATTTTTTATTGATTTCAGAGAGGAAGGGAGAGGGAGAAATAGACAGAAATGTCAGTGATGAGAATCACCGATTGGCTGCCTCCTGCATGCCCCCTACTGGGGATTGAGCCCACAAACCTGGCATATACCCTTAATCAGAATGGAGCCAAACCAACTAGGGCTTTTCTCTAGTTCTTAAGGGTCAATTGGGGAAGTAGAAAAAATAATTTCACTCTATCCTCACTCACCAACAGAGGGGCAGATGAAGCCTACTAACACATGGGTTGGCACACAGCAAGTGTTTAGTCAATATTAAAGAATTGGAAGGAAAATTATATAAGCAAAACCCAATAGGTCTTTATTAGTTCATGTACTTAATTTGCTGGGTGGTTGTGAAGACTTAAAGATGAAAGGTATGTGGAAGATGCCAAACAGAATGTCAACTACATCACTGGTATTTCTTTTCTCAGTTCTGGGCATGTGCAAGCTGAATATTCCACATCTATTGTTCAGGGACACATTAAGATTTGCTCTTTTGCCCAAATCCTGAAAGTTAAATCTCAGGTAAGCCAGGCCTCAAAGGAGCACTGAACCCTACTTCCCATGGCATCTACAAGTCCTTCCCATTTTGTAAGTAGCCTTACAGATTCTGTGGACAAGGGGCATTACATGGAGAACTTGAAACAAGCAAGCGGACAGGCAAATTTCATCCACCCCTTCATTTACCTTGTCAACTTGGACCCTAATGTGTAAAGTGACAAAAGTGAAATGGAGGGAAGGACAGAATAGAGTCAGAGAAGTATGATCCAAAGTAAAAATCATCTCTATCTGGAGCTCACAAAAGATCTGGGTTACCGTCGGCTGCAAACTGCTGCTCTCCTGGTTGCAGATCCGGCTGGAAGTCATTATCCTCATCTGAGTCATCTGGATGATTGTTGTCATGGATATTGGCATTATTCTGGGCATTGTTATCATTGTCGTTGTTAGAGTTCTGGTTGCTGACAAGGGCTGAGGACACACCAATTCCAGTGCCTGCACTCAGACCAACTCGAGCACAGCCCTAAGGTTAAGACAAAACCACATACTTATATCCCTTATTTCATCTCTACATAAGGATATTTATGTGGCACTTTATTTATGAAATGCTTTTACATACACATACAAGAATTCATTTAAGGCTCACAACACTTCAAGCAAGATAAATTGTTATTATGCTTGATTTTCAGATGAGATGCATGATGGGACGAGAGCTGCCCAACAGCCCATGACCAATAAGAGGTACAGCTGGGACTTGAAACCCAGTGTTCTGACCTCAAATCCCACTGACTCAACAGTGGGAATGTAATCAATAAGAACTGACAAGACAGAACATACTTAGTTGAAGCATTAATTTTTTTTTATGGTGAGAGTACAAATTTTATTTGTTAGGCAGAATAACATTTTGTTCAACTGGGCAATCTCAAATTTCCCGGGATATACAACCAACTAAAAAAGACAGCAGCAAAGTAAGACATTTCCAAATAAATTCGTAATCCTCATTTATATTTTGGGTTCTAGATTAGAGATTTACTTTCCCAACTAATTAGTAGGAGTAATACTTAGTATTAGCCCAAATTTCTGTGTTCACGCTTACCATATCTTCAGTTTATAGAACTGATGAAGATAGCTTTTCCACTTACTTTTTTCTTCCCCTCTTCTAGAGACCCTTAATACTCATTTACAAGAAAGAGGCCTTGCATTATTCTGACTTTTATGCCTTTACTGAGTCTGGCAGTAAAAAGTCCAATTATAACTCTGTAAAGGTATATTATTAGGAAGAAAACATTTTGGGTACCAAAATAAATGAACAAAAATTCTCTCAAATATGATTTACTTTGGGTGGTTCACGAAACATCTGGTCCAGTGAAATAAACTCCAGGCTTGGCAATAATTCAATAAACTGGCCAAAGGAGTCCAGCTTCAAAGCGTGGCACCGCACTAAGTTGATATCAACCAATCGTGTCCATCTTGAGTGATCTGTTGATGAAATGCCAGAGAGAATTTAAGCAACACTTTCTCCATTACTGATGAATTTTGCTATAGATCAGAGATTTTCAAATCTGGTTTCTTTAAATAATTTTTCTCTTATTTCTACAACTTGATAAATATAACTATCACATTCGTTACCTAATTTCACTGTGGGAATCATTAATGTATAACCAAGTTAGCCTGGATTTAAACGTGATCCACTCAACCTATTCAACAGTGGGACACTAAAGAAATATTGGTGCATTAATTTAACAGAACGTTATGCAGCTTTTAAAAGAATGAAGAATTGAATATGCTTGATTTGGAAAGCTCTCAAAACATTCTTAGTACAAAAGACAACTAACGGACTGCATCCATAGCAGGGTCCTTTTATATATATAAATCATTTCCAATGCTATACATTTCCATGTATAGGCTGCAACATGCCCAAAATAGTCTGCCCAGAGAATATACAAGAAACTGTTGATGGTGGTTACCTTTGAGAAGAGAAGACTTTTCATTTTGTACCTTTCTGTACTGATTGATATTGTTTATCAAGTGCATGTATTATTCTAGTTTTTAAGTGTTAACAGGAGTTCTGAGTGATGGGATTATAGGCCATTTTTTAATTTTCTTCTTTATACTCTTCTGTATTTAAGAAAACAAACAAATCAAAAACCCAATAAATGTTATTTTTTAAAAGTGGTCTACACTTCCTAAACTTAAAGTTTGGATTTCCCAATAACTTCTTGGTGCAGCTGGGCCAGGGATTTAATTCCTGGTGGGTGAGACATGGTCATTCTGAGTGACTGATCTCAACTGAGGCCCAAGAGCCCCCAAACAGGCCTGAAGACAGGCTTGGTGAGGAGCTACAATATCCCTGGGCGGTGGCTCAGACAGCAGAGGCGGCGGTTCTGCAGGTGTTTGTGAGGGGGCATGGTTTGATTAAAGAGGATATCACAATGAAAATTGTCTAGTTCTGAATTTATTTACAGGTTGAGAATTTAGGTATTTAAGAAGGACCTTTAAAGAAATAAATAGTGTTACACTCTTGGGGAAAAAAATCAACTCCCCCATAAGGAAAAATACCAAGTGCAAAAGTCACAGGGGGGTGAGGGGAAAGAGAGATCTGAAATAACCTAGAATTTTAAGGTGACAAAAAATGTCTATAGCCCTAACCGGTTTGGCTCAGTGAATAGAGCATTGGCCTGCGGACTGAAGTGTCCCAGGTTCAATTCCAGCCAAGAGCATGTACCTAGATTATTGGCACATCCCCAGTAGAGGGATGCAGAAGGCGGCTGATCGATGTTTCTCTTACATCAATGTCTCTAACTCTGTATTCCTCTCCCTTCCTCTCTGTAAAAAAATCAATAATATATATAATATATATGTAAGTTAATGTGTAATATGTCACCTAACTAATGTTAGATATATACCCACTTTGCCCTTTCAGATAATATGCCATTTGAAGATAATTCAGAGAAAATAACTATAATATCCCAAGCAACAATTTCTAACCTTCATTGTCTGTGCCTGGCCCAAAGAAGTATAAAGATCAGGGCACTTGAGTTTATAACCTGGACAGTACAAACTTCTGAACAGAAATTGTCAGTTCAAAAAGACACTGAATATACTTCTTTCTTGGTTATCAAAAGTTCTTAGAACTTGTATGAATAATCCAAGTAAAATATCTACATTTTATATTATAAATGCAATCCATAGCACACACAGAAAACAAAGATACATATTATTTCAACATAAAACACAGCCAGATTTAAGCCTACAGTACCTGAAATCCAATTGTATGGATTATGTAGATGGGGGCAATTATAAATTGCCAGATATTTGATACAGGAAAATACTTCATTGACTGCCTTCATCCCTATATCGGTGATAATGCCAGGATTTTCTACCACATCGGCCAGACCATACTTCACCAGATCTGCATTAGCCATTCTGCCTAAAAAGAAAAATAGACTTTTTTTTTTAGAAAAAGGGTTAAGTGTCGAGGAGCATTGCCAATTCTTTATCTTAGCATCCAGTACAATCACTCTCTATGATCATTCTCTGTCATGTGCCCATCATCGTTTTCAGGTTCAGATATAGTTTTTAATTAGGTGTATTGTACGAATGGACATTAAAGTAAGAATTTATATTAAAAATTAAGGGGGGGGCAGCTAATAGGAAAAATCATTTCCAATTATTTATAAAAGGCAAAAATTCTTAAAGCAAAACTGACAGATACATTGTATTAGTTCAAATCTATGATGAAGTTTTAATTTTATCTTTTAAAAGAAAAATAATACCTTAAAAATATTACTCTTTTACAGTGTGAGGATCATGTTTATGGAGCTGGGTGTGGCCATATATAGAGAAGAATAAACTTAGGGAATTCAGTTTCATTTTTAGAGCCCATGTTATTGGTTGGTAAATCTGTATCTGTCCCCAGGGCATGGACTTCCAACTCAAACACACCCATTCTCTCTGCCACTGAGCTCCTACTTCTTATCACAGATGACGGGGTGTATATACGTAGAAGAGGTCCCTCCATTCTAGTTTATGCCACTGGAAATCACATCTCCTCCCATGTTCCCTATCAGTGTTTCTTTGTCTATCTTCCATCTACTCTCCAGGATGGTCCAGCTGAACAGCATCTAGGTCACATTTCCATTTTCAATGTCCAGCACAGTGCTGGGGATATAGGAATTCAAACAACATCTCTCCCAGTCCTTCTAATCAAGTGACACAAAGCACAAAGAAAACAGTTGCTCTGGTGAAACTGCCCTGCATACTACAAGGATTTATACCTTCAGTTCAGAACATACTTAAAACAAGCAACCTACTCCAAAACTCTTCCAATTTTGCTTTCTACACAGTTCACAGTCTCTCTCTGATAGTATCCTTTCTGGGCCTTTATGGGCATTTCTTGCAGATTACCTGAACCCATCCTATACCATTAAGCTAAGCAATTTGAAGATTCTGATAAAAAGCTTTTTCTTGTCCACTGGACGTAAAACTTGCCTTTTCTCTCCTCTGATCAAGTAAATCTTGAACTGGCCCTATTCCTTGGGTGCTGTCTGAATAAACAGCCTGATATGAGAAATTCATGGCCCACATCCACTCCTTTGAGACTACTAGCGGACTCCTGCTCTTGGGGTCTCCTGACTGTAACACTCCTTCAAAACCCTGAGACTCATTTTTGTTTCTTTTTTAGTTCAGCTCATAGGTCTGCTAAAAGTTACCATTACTGAATGCTTTCTAAATGTCAGAAATTATAAAAGCCCATGTTTTCTCATTTGTTAAATGAAGATAAAACCACAACAAATAAGAAAACTTAGACTAAAGTAACTTGCTCAAGGCCCCACCATTAGTAGGTAGGCCTCAAGTCCATATCCCACCCTCTTTCCAAAGCTTCAGCACTAAAGATCACTCTGTACTGCTTCTGGTTTTCAATGAGTGTTTGGTCCCTATCACATTCACAGGAAGCTCTGAGATCATCAATCTATGTAAACAAACAACGCTTCTCTAAGTATTCATCCTCGGGTCACTTTCCTTATATTCCTAATATATAGCATCTGCTTTTCAGCATGTCCATTCCTCAATCTGGCAGTCACTTCTACCATAAATATCTGAGATGAAGATTTTTGTCTCTTTTTATATTTTGCCAGATTCTCTGAAACAAAACAAAACTGATTCAAGTTTTACCAGGGGCCACCCCCACCTCCTATACAGATGCTTTAAAATCTAAATTACTGAAGCTGAGAATTAGTGACAGAGTGTGACCAGTAACCTCTCGTTCCTCTCTAAATAGAGGCACTTGGATCCTATTCTGATGCAGAAAATTTTAGGCTGCCTTTGGAGAATCAGAGAAGAACAATTATACGAGAGAAATGGATGAACTGCAGCAAACATGAAGAAGACAGCTTATAAAAAAGGTCAGAACTAAGAGACTATTACATATGAAAAAGTGTGTGAAACAAGTTATTTTGAAAAGTATAAGATAATAGTAGCCAAAGGTAAAGTTCTTTCTTTGAAAATGTGTAGGGAGGGAAACACAATAGAGAAATATGCCCTGGTCAGGTAGCTCTGTTGGAAAGGTTGCGAGTTCCATCTCCAGTCAGGGCACATACAAAAGGCAATCAATGAAGGAATAAATAAGTGAAACAACAAATCGATGGAGTTTTGGGGAAGAACAAAATACAAGATTATAGAAAGAACACTAATTACCACGCTAATAATTTTGTAAAGTTACTACACAGATATTATTACCTCATTCAAAACCAGAAAAATTTAATATCAAATAAAGCAGGTCCTACAATGTCATTCATTACAATGTCAATTAGCCTATGTGAAGTTAGTTTCATTATACAAACATTGTTTTGTCATAGTTCCAAGAACTTACCAAAAATGTTATGAAGGGACTTACTGTACACTGATTTTATATGAACTTACTATACTAATTTAGCATTTTAAAGCTACGTTGGTGAAAAGCTGATCTCTTTCAAAACTATAAAGATTGAGTCCTGTGTTAAATTGGCTGATTTGATTGTTTTAATCCTTCACCTGTATTAATGAGAACTGCAACAAAGAAAAAGTTTAAAAAAAACACCTATTACTATGCTAATTTTTAGAAATGGAAAAAGGACAACAGTCATGCGGTTTGACCTGGACTGTCCTGACCAGAGGAATTAAACCTTCTATGGTTTTCTACAATACAAATTAGATCCAAAGGAAAAAAATGCCATCTGGAATGACAGTGAACAGTGTAAGAAAGACTTGTTGCAAATTACATGGGGAATAAACTAATTCTTGCAAAAATAAAAACATGCTGGTGTTCTTGCATGTATGACTAACGTCATGTGGGAGAAAAGTTTGAATAACGAATTGACATGCATTCAAACCCAAAGGCTAAGTTCCCCATTGTAAATACATTCCAGAAAATGCTGTGAACAAGCCTTCCAACAGCAATCATCATTAAATGAATACTGACCATTATGTGCTCACACTATCTGGGAAATCCAGTAGCCCCAGCGGGCTAATTATGGAAATGAAGAGCATGGGCAGGGAATGGGACCTCATCTGAGAGGACCATCAAAAGCTTCAAGAAGTGTGGCAGATCAAATTCAACAAATGGAACCAAGGATGACATTCTGTGAAAAAAATGAAGCAGAATGGGAAAGAAACTTGGGCAGCAAAGCGGAGACAATATCAAATGTAGATATGTAGATAAGGATTTTTTTTTTTTAGTATACTGATAATCACTACATTTTCTATAATATGCTAAATTCAGAGGCAATATTGAAAAAAATAATCACTGACACTTCAAGTTTAAATTAAAAATTTCTTTTTTCAAGAAGTGAGAGCACCTAAGAGTTTAAGTTGTCTTATATTCAGGAAAATATGGAACATCCCAATTCAGGTTTCAGTCAAGTAAGTTCCCTCCAGAAATCCTAAAGAATAAAAAAAAATGGGATAAGTCTTACTCTGTAGCAAAAACTCATCTACATATCCCAGATGAAGGGTTTCAAACTGGGGGAACTCCAACTCTGCCATTTTTAGGGCAGAAAAGACGCCATCTTTGGTTAGGGAAGGCTGGATTCGAACTTCATGTAACCTATGGACAAAGATAAAATCACAGTAAAATACAAGCAACCAGAATCATATTCTCTTCCTAATATAAGGCTCTAAAATAAGTTTATCTTAATGAAGTGTCAAATGCAAACAACTTTTTCTCCCTCCATTAAAAAATACTAGAGATGTTTCCTTTAAAGATACATATTGCAAAGTGTGGGCACATCTTAGGTGGTACATGAAAGTTCCTATTAAATAACAATGAATTACACAGTAAGAATCCTTCCTTAAACCTGATTAAGTCAAATAAGAATCTGGTGCTGGTATTTTTTTAACTTCTTTTCTATGCTAACCATTAAGTCCCATTTTAACAAAGAGCATACAGTTCTACAGTAAGTAACAATACCTATTTATTTAAACTTAGAAACAGTTTTGCTTTATTCATTTTCTTAATATCCAACTGATGAGTTTTATTTTTGAATAAATTGAAAAACTAATTGATCCAATTTAAATAAAATATTAAAGTACACGTAGAGGTAGACTTTTTGATATAGCAAACAGTAGATGGGGCATAGTGATAGGAAATGTGTTATAAGGTCAGAAACTTGAAAAGGCTGATTTTAAACAGATTTCCCAACAGCAAGTAATGTTTCCAACTAACTAAACTGATTCAGAAAATCATTGAAGTTGAGACATGCTTCCTGAGAGGGCTGCAGGCGCCAGAGAATCAATGCTGACGTCTCTTAGACGCTCAGGCACTTCTAGAGAGCTGACTGCCTTTCTCTGATGAGACCACATCCTTTCAGAGATTGCTGGATCTGAAAGAGCTCAACTGGTCATCAATTACAAGATAAGACTACCACTAAATGATAACCCTGCTGTTATTTAAAAACTCCAGTGTATCTGAATTCTGAACAAAGCATGATCAAACTTTTCACACATATTCCTCCAAATTTTTGTAAAACAGGAAAATACATATAATTCTAAAAGACGCAGGTGAAGAGAAAACTTACCTACGAGCAGCAGTGATAATGAGGTAACCAAGGTCTACTTCGAGAGCATTTTTACAAGCTCCCAAAACAATGGTGTGCAAATTTCGGAAACCACCTGGTTAACAAAAAAAAAGGAACAAAACATAAAACTTTTCATTTGACCACAGTATTTTTATTAAAGCATTCATTCTCATTTTAAATGATAATTATTTCTTAAAAGAAAATCTAAGTTGTTTCTCCATTCAAATGAGTATCTCAAGATGAATTAGGACTAGTAGTTATCTCCTAAGAGAAAAACAGATACCTTCATTGTGAAAAGACAGTCTGAAGCATCTGAAAATTAGTCCAAATTATTTCAATTTTAAGAATTTTCAGAAAGCCAGAAGCTGATGAGGGAATTGTAAATAAGAAATCCTGACATTTTCTGGCAAAACTCTGAACCTTACATTTATAAGCAATAAAATTAATACTACTTTATTTTTAACTGGCTCTGGCTATGTTTCTAACTTGTAAATATAGAGGGGGGGAAATATACAAATTATTAATGTATATAGCTCAATGAATTTCACAAAAGCCTGATTTGTTTTGAACTTCTTATAAATAAGATTACACAGTATGCATTTTTTTGTGTCTGGCTTCATTTATTAAACATTTTGTTTATGAGATTCATCCATATTGTTGCCTGTAGCATTAGCTTGATCATTCTCATTGTTGCACAGTATTCCATTGCAAGAATATGTTACATTTTAATTTTCCATGCTATTGCTAATAGGCATTTGGGTTTATTTCCCTGTTGGAGCTTTTATGAACGTTACTATAAATAATTTTGAACACTCTCCTGATGAATACTGTATGTATTTCTGTTGGATTTGGAGTATTATTATCATTATAACTATTAATGACTAGAGGACCGCTGCATGAAATTCGTGCATGGGGGTGTGTGTCCCTCAGCACAGCCTGCACCCTCTCCAATCTGGGACCCCTAGAGGGATATCTGACTGCCCGTTTAGGCCCAATCCCAGTAGCATTGGACATCCCTCAAACAATCCAGTAGGTCATCCCTCTCACAATCCAGGACTACTGGTTCCCAACTGCTCGCCTGCCTGCCTTCCTGATTGACCCTAACTGCTTCTGCCTGCCAGCCTGATCACCCCCTAACCACTCTCCTGCCAGCCTGATTGATGCCTAACTGCTCTCTTGCCAGCCCGATTGCCCCTAACTGCCCTTCCCTGCTGGCCTGGTCACCCCTAACTGCCCTCCCCTGCAAGCCTGGTTCCCCCCAACTGCTCTCCCCTGCAGGCCTGGGTCCCTCTCAAACTGCCCTTCTCTGCAGGCCCAGTTGCCCCCAATTTCCCTCCTTTGCCAGCCTGGTTACCCATAACTGCCCTCCCCTGCAGGCTTAATCACCCCTAACTGCCCTCCCTTGCAGGCTTGGTCCCTTCCAACTGCTCTCCTCTGTTCGCCATCTTGTGGCAACCATCTTTGACTACTTAAGGCAGCCATTGTGTGTGTTGGAGTAACAGTCAATTTGCATATTACTATTTTATTAGATAGGGTAATGTTTATTTGTAATCAATGATACTTGATGTCTTTGCATTTATACCAAGGGTGGGAACATCTGGTCTGGCCCTGCCAAGGCATTAGGGGTGAGTTAATTAAATGTTTGACCAAATATAGAAGGATAATCTTTAAGTTGATAATTTTGTATGGCCCTCAAATGATGTCATAAATATTTAAATGGCCCTTGATAGAAAAAAGTTCCCTACCTGATTTATACTTTGAAAATCCAAAGTTAGATTTTCAGTTCTCAAGTATTAATTATCTAGCTAGCTAAATTTTTTGGTATTTCTGTTTCAATGAGATGTGATTAAAATGGAGATGATTCTATTACATATCATTATTTAAAATATAATTAAGGCGACCTAGAGAATAAAATCTTTACTTTTTAAAAAACCATAATCTAATGGTTGGGTCTATATCCAAGTGATAAACATGAAAACATTTTATATACTATTAATATAATTATGTTATTAATAGCTGAGTTCTTCTGGTATCCAAGTCAAAAAACATCTCTTAAAACCAATGAGCATTAGACTTCCTTGTTAACATTTCTCAAAAACAATCTGAATGTAACAGATATATTAACTAAAGTATTAACAAACCAGAAAACATGCTTTATCACTCTAAGATTTAACATTGCATAAAATGGAAATGAATACTAGCTTGTGCTCATGGTTACTTACTCTCTATGAACTATAGCAGACAGAAAGTGCCATTACTGACAAGCAGTTTCTTTTAAAAAGACTCAAATAGAAACAAATAATACCTTAATGATTTTTAAAAACTGATTTTTAAAATATTTAGTAACTAAAAAAACCCACAAATACCTGATCTCCAACTGTCTTCAACTACATGTTGGATAAGACCTCCAAGGAAAGGAACTCGAACCATTTCTAAGTGTTCCAAGTTTCGGGCAGAGGCCAAGCCTGTTACCAAAGGGACATATTTCAAGGAGTTTGTGGGACCTGGGAAAAAAGAAAAACAAAATTCAATGAATTATATAAACAAACTTAAAGACAAACTTTCAAGTCAGGAGTTGAAATAACATAAATTCTATGTTGGAAAATAAGAGCCAAATAGTTGGCTCTTTGCCATTTAAACTTATTAGAATGAAAGAAAGCATTGGCCTATTAACCATATACTTAGCATAAGATTTGTCAAGAACATTGGATAGGCTTTTTTTTAAATGTTTTTTTTAAAGTAAATCCTCTGAAGACTTGACATGGAGATAAAACTAACATGAAAAATTATAAAAATATAAAAAGGCAGGCCATATCAAGTACAAAAAATAAGATCTTCTATACTTCATTTTAAAAAAAGAAGAAAGAGCACAGAAAAGTAGAAAGAGGCAGAACTTGAAGGATATATACAAGTAAAGAGGAGGAAGTGTGTTACTCAAGACATATATACAGCATAAGGAAAGCCACTGAGGTGAATGGTGGTATGGTTGTAGACAGTACATAGGCAGACCTGACTATAAAAGAATGTGTATCTTGGAAAGGAATCAAAACAAAAGGATATCAAAAAGGGCCCTGGTTACTACGAAATTTAGAGCAAAATAGTTTGCACCTGACATACTCATGAAATGGAGACACTGAAGGTTTTTGAACTGAAAAGCAGTATCATAAAAGCAGTGTTTTATACTTTAAAGTACATTAGATCAACTATTTACATGCAGAATGATTAGGTGACCAGAGACAAAGAAAGCAAACAGAAATCTATTAGAACAATCTTATAAAAAAGGAAGTGTAAATGTGCCTGTACGAAATACTTAAGAGACATAGTGACACCCTTTTTTTTTGCTAAAAGTCAGACACAAATCATGTATCTCCTGTCTTCAAAACAAAAAAGTATATTTATCTTCACAAGGTAAGTTACAAAACACATAGTATATAATAGTAGTAGCAAAATATAATTTTGTTTATGAATATAGCTATGGAGTTTGCTTTGGGTTATTTTTAGAAGAACATATGTCTAATTCCACCATGACTATGTCCCATTACCTGCACAGTTTCTCATGACGAAAGTTCGCAAGCTGATGCAAAGAAAGTCTTTGAATGGCTGTGGCTTAGTGAGTCTTACCCACTTCATATAAAGGTGCCTTAACATTGGGATACAAGGAATTTCAGGAACATTCACCCCTAAAACATACATGTAAAAAAAAAAAAAAAAAAAAAAAAGAATAAACAAGAAAATCACCAAGAAAATCTGTATTCTGTATCTAAGTTCAATTCTATTTTCAAGTTGATAACATATCCTTCATAAATATCTTCTCCAGAATAAATTACCCCATTAAAGTCTATCAAGTTTGGCTCACGCAAAACAGTCTTGTAAAACACAATTTAAACAAACCATAAATAGACTAGTACTTTGTTATTTCTTGAGTAAAAGCACATGGGAAGATAGGATTCTAAAGGTATTTTTATATGTTATACACATAAGTCTTCCTCATAATACCACAACCCTTCCAGGATACATTTGCCCAGTGGATATAACATGAATATAGGTTACTGAAAGCAAAAAAGCAAAAATAAGAAGATACAGAAGCAATATACAAAATTATTATTTCACTACCAATGTCCACTATCCTGCCAGTGGGAAAACTAAACTTCTCAGCATAAATGCAGGCTAGCTGGCTTTAAAAATCATGGTTTCTGACTGATATCCGACACAGAGATTAAAGCTGTTCTTACAAATATATGAATTGTAAGGATTTGTAGATGTGTAGTAGGAGTCAGTCAACATAATATTAAGAAAGTGAGAAACCTGTCAGTCATTTATTTTAATACTAAAGGCCCAGTACACAGATTCATGCACCAGTGAGGGTCCTGCGGCCTGGCCTGTGGACATCCCCGGGGTATTCCCGATTTTGAGAGGGCACAGGCAGAGGGACCCCACTGGTGCACAATCAGGGTGCGGAGGGGCCATAGAAGGGCACAGGAGGGCTCCAGGGCATGTCCAGCCCATTTAGCCCAGTCCCGAACATCCAGCCCAGTCCCCAAAATCTGGACCCCAGCAGCAAGCTACCCTACCAGTCAGAACATCTACCCCCGAAGTCAGTGGTCGGCAAACTCATTAGTCAACAGAGCCAAATATCAACAGTACAATGATTGAAATTTCTTTTGAGAGCCAAATTTTTTAAACAAACTTCTTCTAATGCCACTTCTTCAAAATAAACTCTCCTAGGCTGTGGTATTTTGTGGAAGAGCCACACTCAAGGGGCCAAAGAGCCACATGTGGCTTGAGAGCCGCAGTTGCCGATCATGGCCCTAGGTCAGTGCACATCATAGTAACCGGTCAAACAGTCAGACATTTAGCATGTTAGCCTTTTATTATATAGAATTTCAAATTAATAGTTATTTTATCCTTCTGATCCATAAGTGGCTTAAAGCTTGAAATCATACCCACAGAGGACCATGTATGGAAGAAAGGGGAGGGGATCTATGGTGGGAGGGAAAGTCAGGAAATATGGAAGAAAGAAGACAGGTAACTTGTACATTCTAAATGGAAGGAAGCAGCTCCAGGAACTTGCTCAAGAGTCTAAACACTGCAGGCTATAGAATAGCCAAGGAAGTGACACAAGTCTCAGAGAAATCCAAGGGTCCAGGGTTATGGTATTTCATAAGCAGCAGCTGGCTAAATTAGTTTAATGCAACTTTTAAACTTGAATCAGTAGAAGCTCTGCTAGCAATGGTAACTAGAGGAAGCAATATTAGAATATTTGAATGACTGATTCTTTTAAAACTAAGTTCTACTGTACTGATAACTTCTTAACTTGGTACTCCCAAATAAGCATGGTTAACTTAACTTTGAATGATTTATACACATTATATGGTAACAGATAGAAAATAAGCACAGTAAGTTACACTGGAGAACTCTGCTCTAGAGGGCTGAGCTAGAATCAAGAGGTCGATATTAGAGAACAATGGCAGGATTCTGGCTCATTGAAATGAACGAACAAAAAAACCCAACAACTTCCAAAACGATTCAAACTATCTTCAAAAAGGAAATAGAGTCGTTGTGAAGCAGTATTTCTCTCATCCCCCATCCCATGCTTTTTAATAAGAAATTTTTATACAAATCTCATAAGCTTATCTTTGCCACCATCAATCAACAAAGACATTTCTAAGGAATGGTATTTCAAAGAGTCACAATGACCTGAGAAACATGTACTCACCAACTAAATGTAAAGTTTGAATTTTTGCTCCTATAGGAATTTTCAGTTTATTTTCAGGAGGAATTGGAAATGCTCCATTACGATTCCGAAATTTCCCCAAAATATGAACATGCGGCATATACGTCCAAATGGATTCTACCAATTCCAAATGAGAAGTCTCCACACCCTAGAAAATAATGCCAAAGCAAGCATAAGAAAGACTTTTAATTTAGCACCCAAAGCTTCTATTTCTGTATCATAAGATGTTAAGCATGAAATGAAACTTAAAAGTTTGCTAAGGATGAAATTTACCTGTGAGTGAACATGCGTTATCATTCTTTTTGTTTGTTTCATCAATTAGTTGATGTCAAATGTTTAAACTAGAGGTACTCACCACTAAGTTTGGGCATGCCTGCAAAGCTTCCAGAACACCTGGAATGCTAAAAGCTTCATGGCCACGCACCCTCCGCCTCTCAAGGTATCTAGGGTGAAGGCCATATAGCTGTTCAACATCTGGCATCTTCTTCAATAGTGTCAGAAAACTGGAATCTGTGAAGCCTGAGAAGTTCAAAGATATTTAGAGATTAGTTCATTTTTCTGTTTGTCAGCATTTGCACTTTTGCTCCTCCCCAAAAAGTACTTTCTGGTACATAAAACCTCAAGGGGTCCACAGACCCTACAAATAAAAAATAAAAAAACAAACAAAAAAAAAAAAAAACATGAGTAAGATAAGCTCCGCATCTTCAGAAAGCTAAATTCCATCCCAACCTAGGTTCTTTTAGTTCTAATAACCACTCTGTCCTATGTTTAACTTTCACTCTTTAAACATTTTATTTATTTTTAATAAAGATTTTATTTTTATTATTGATTTTTAGATAGAGGAATGGAGAGAAAGAGAAAGAGAAAGAGAGAGAGAGAGAGCGCGCGCGCGCAAGAGAGAGAACCCCAATGTGAGAGTGAAACATCGATGGGTTGCCTCCTGCAATGCTCTCTACTGGAATCCAGTACTTAACCTGGGCATGTGCCCTGACCTGGAACCTCCCTGATCGCAAATCAAACTGACAGATGCCCAAGCAACTAAATCTGAGCACTACCAATGTCCATTCTCTTTCATTGTACAGTACATGCTGCCTCTCACTAAAATGTGGGTAAAATTCCACCTTCTTCACAGAGATGGTGTGAGAATTTAAAGAGATTGTATATGTAAACCATAATATTACTATATAAAAACCTCAGTTAGCATTATTATAGAATTAAGATTTAAACTCCATATACAGGCCAGACGACATTAATAAGTAATTAATGAGATCTTATTCTAGACTAGAGAATGTTTGCAACTTTGACTCTCTTTTTATATTTTTTGCAGGGATGGAAGCCTTGGGCTCACAGGTATTTATCCCAGTCTGAAAGAAGTCAGCAACGTACAAATTCTTAAAATGGGAGCTCTCCTATGCTGCTTTTTATATAGTGCACTGATCTCATCTCCAGAATTCCTATTGGTCTAACCTCCAATAAGCAAATCTAATATAAGGAATGGCAGTCATTTTCATATTGCCCTAATTTCTTTCCTGTTATAAATGATCCCTCTCCAGAGTAAGATGAATGCTTCCCCTTTAGTATGATTTCTTTCAAGTATTTAAAGACAACTGTTCTAGCCTCAGGTCTTTGCTTAACAAAAACTTTTAACTAACTCTGGCCAACCCATAACAGTTACCAGGTGACTAAAGACTCTATGGAAAGGATATGGTTGCCCAAGCTGTACAATATTCCAGTGTTCCAGAGGTAATCTGTCCCATGCCACATAGGACAGAATAAGGCAATTACCTCCTCAGCCCTTCACATACCCTTAAGGCTCCCCGATACCCAGCCCCATCACATTTTCAAAATATCAGGTTCTGGATACTTTGATGAAAGGTGGTTAAAAAAAAAAAAAAGACATTTAAAATTGCTAAACACAGTAATCAAAGGGCACTAATTAATGGATTGATGTTAACTGGGGGGAAAAAATCCTGATTGGCCCTTAATTTTAACTCTTCCCTTTCAGATATGTTCTGCTTTTACAAAGTCATCAACTTCCTTTTCTTTTTTTTTTTTTTTAAATATTTTTTTTATTGATTTCAGAGAGGAAGGGAGAGGAGAAGAAAGACATCAATGATGAGAATCATTGATCCACTGCCTCCTGCATGCCCCACACTAACATTTGAGTCCACAACCAGGCATGTGCCCTCACTGGGAATTGAACCATGGCTTCCTAGTTCAAAGGTCAATACTCAACCACTGAGCAACACTAGCCGGTTCAACTTTCTTTTCTCATGGTCTCTTTATCGGAGGTCCGTTTCTTGTGCTTAGACTACTAACTTTGAGTTCTCTACCTGCAGGGCCAATATCTTATTTGAAAATATCCAAGTCCTAGTATAGGCTTTTAAAAGTGCTAAATAAATTCAAGTTCCATGCTGGGACCGGTTTGGCTCAGTGGATAGAGCGTCGGCCTGCAGACTGAAAGGTCCCAGGTTTGATTCCGGTCAAGGGCATGTACATTGGTTGCGGGCACGTCCCCAGTAGGGGGTGTGCAAGAGCTGATCGATGATTCTCATCGATGTTTCTGACTCTATCCCTCTCTCTTCCTCTGTGAAAAATCAAAAAATTTAAAAATTAAAAAAAAATTCAAATTCCAGAAGTGCAACTTCTGTGGCCTACTAGAGCAGCTTTACAAGTATTTGTAAATATTTTTTTAACCACATGGCACCATTGAAGGGGTATAAGAAATCATGAAGAACTGCATTGCAAAAAAAGGACACTTTAATGTGATAAACATATTTTTAATTAAGGTAATAAAAGGCTCATAAGTATTTTCTAATCATATATTTGTGGAATAGGCTGATATAGTTCCTTTAAAGAATAGAAAATGAAAGCAACAGACCATTAAAACAGGAAAGTATCAGGCAAAATGTATTTTTGTAATAGATTTTTATTTATTTCAGAGAGAAAGGGAGGAGAGAGAAAAACATCAATGATGAGAGAGAATCATTGATCAGCTGCCTCTTGTACGCCCCCTACTAGGGATAGAGCCCATAACCCGGGCACGTGTCCTTGACTGGAATCGAACCTAGGACCCCTCAGTCCGAAGCTCTGTCCATCAAGCCAAACCAGCCAGGGCCAGGCAAAAAATGTATTTTATCAAACTAATCCAACCTTAATAATTTAGCTAAAACTCTGCCTCCCTACTTGCAAGAGGATTCCAATTGCCTATCTCAAGACTAAAGGATATGATGACAAGTTACCTTTGATGGAAACTTAATTAATGCTAGTTTCCAGGTTAAATCCACTTACCACTTGGCATGTATTCCCACCAGCGCCCAGCACAGAGATCCACAACCCTCACAACTCTCAGATACAGGGTCACTGCTTCCTTTAGCTTCCGGGAAAGACATTCCATACACATGATATCCTGCAGAGGGAGGTACCTTTGTGAGAGAAAGAAACTTGTATTTATCAAGTCGTAAGGACTTCCTCTCCCTGATGGGTGATATTTTTCCTTCTTCCATTCTCTTACCCCTCAAATGAAATAAGACCTTAGGAATATTCATAGGGTTTTAAGATTAACAGGCATATACAGGTTTTTACTAAAAACAGGTAAGTCAGCACTCAAGTATCCAAATAAAAAATATTGAGCTTCCTCCATAGGGCAGTTAGTAGAACCTGCCTTTCTTCTTTTAAATTTTTAAGGACAAAAAAATCTCAAAAAAAAAAGGTATGAAGAAAAAAATCTTAATACATTTCAAAACAAGAGAATGCAAATAAGATGAGAGTACTGATCGTTTTGAACATGCCCAATATTATTTTACTAGAGGTCCAGTGCACTGGGGGGGGGAGGAGGCAGAGCGTGTTATCCCTCAGTCCAGCCTGCACCCTCTTCAATCTGGGGCCTAAATTGGCAGTTGGACATTTCTCACAATACAGGACTGCTGGCTCCCAATTGCTCACCTGCCTGCCAGTCTGATCAGCCCTAACCACTCTCCGGCCAGTCTGATTAATGCCTAATTGCTCCCCTGCCAGCCCAGTCGCCCCCAACTTCCCTCCCCTGCAGACTTGGTCTCCCCCCCCCCCCCAACTGCCCTCGCCTACAGACCTGACCCCCCTCAACTGCCCTCTCCTGAAGGCCTAGTCCCCCCCAACGGCCGTCCCCTGCCAGCCTGGTTGTCCCAACTGCTCTCCTCTGCTGGCATGGTCACTCCCAATTACACTCCCCTGCAGGCTTGGTTCCTCCCAACTGCTCTCCCCTGCTGGCCTGGTCGCCCTTAACTGCCCTCACCTGCTGGCCTGATCGCCCACAAATGCCCTCCCATGCTGGCCTTCTTGTGGCAACCATCTTGTGATCACATGGGGGCAGCCATCTTGTGTGAGGGCATGATGATCAATTTGCATATTACCTTTTTATTATATAGAATAGCTTTTCCAGATCCATTTTCTGTAGTGGCTAAATTCCTCTTTGCTCTCTCAACATCCTCCAAGAAACTATTTTCTCAGATATGTACAGTAATTTTATAGTATATAATTTTCCCTAGGTCTTTTACCTTTCCGATTACACACTTTGATAAAAGTATTTCTTTCTTTTTTTAAAATATATTTTATTGATTTTGTACAGAGAGAAAGGGAGATAGACAGAAACATCGATGAGAGTCATTGATCAGCTGCCTCTTGCACATCCCCTACTGGGGATATGCCCGCAACCAAGGTATATGCCCTTGACCGGAATCGAACCCAGGACCTTTCAGTCTCCAAACCGACGCTCTATCCATTAAGCCAAACCGGTTTCGGCTGATAAAAGTATTTCATAAGCATTAAGTGAGAACACTATCTGAATTGCAATTCCTCTTTTCCAACCTCATTATATTTTCCTTCTTGAAAATTTTCAATTAACTTTTACTTTGCTGTTTCCAATAATACCAACATATATTTTGTAAGATCAGAAAATATTCTCTTTTCAACACCCTTCCATACACACTTATATTAGTTTTTTTAAAAAAACATACAAGCTACCCTTTATGGAGATGGTATCATGTCACAGATGGAAATCATAGCTTCACAACTTTTCAAGGTAAGCTATTCAATGTTTGCTATACAGTTCTCCCCATCCTTTCTTTCCTTTTCTGCTTTGCTATGTTCCCAATCCCTCTATCAGTTGATTTTGGCCAATGTCAAGTCCAGGCAAAGGCTTTCTGAATCATCTATTTGAATTCTTCAAAGTCCCTCATTGATTCCTTTAACCCTACCCCTACCTACACTTCTCAAAATAGTACCTTCATTAAATTATCTTCAAATTTCAACTTAGTGTATCTTGTTCCCTGCTAGAATCCTCATTGATAAAGTAGGTGTTATAATTATTCCATTTTGCAAGTGGTGAAATTGGCTCAGAAAAGAACCTGCAAAAAGTCAACAGCCAGATACGAGGAAGAGCAGAGATGTCAACACAGCTGGGTATGAGTCTAATTCCTAAAAGTTAAGCTAATTCTAAAGGAAAATTCCAAAAATGTCTGATGAATATTTCTCTACTCCACTTTTTTCCTATCTCTAGCTCTTCTCCCTTCCCTTTTAAAACTATTTAAAGAGAATCAAATCAAATCATTTTCTTTACAAAAAAAAGTATTACTGCTAATTTAATTTACAGCCTCCATAACAATTTTCACTTTAAGGGAAGCAGGACAATAACTACACATTTTATAAACAATGAAAAATATTGAATTTTGTTTTGCCACTAAAACACTTTCCCCCAAATCATTGTTATATAAAGTATTTGCCTCAGTTAATATTATACTCCCTTTAAATACAAATAGATCAGTAGTCACACGAAGTTAATCTTACATTTGCCCTCAGAAAAATAAATGTTATTTGTTTTCTTCACAGATAAATAGTCAATGGGCTGGAGTTCAAAAGGCAGAACAAATACATTTTAGAAAAGATGTGTTTAACATGGCACATACAACAAAGATTAGGTTTCTTTTAAGGAAGTCAGTTTTACTTATTTCATGAAAACATGCTAAGTAGTTATCAAAAACTAAAACATGGGTCCTCAGATAAAAACTTTAGCAGCTTAAAAATAATTTTTTTTAGAATGAACAGTTCTTTACCTTCTTCTAAATTGCTGCATGTTTTTGCATTATAACCAGAATAACATCCTTGTGCTTGACTCCAACCCTTCCATATTTAAGTATTCTATTTGAACTGTATAATGTTATTTGATCCACTCTCAACTTAAAATACGATCCAATTTGTTCATACTATGTCCTTCCATCATTCACAAATGTCTAACTCACATGCCTTCAAACAACTTTATCTATGATTTCTTCTGGAATTTTAATAGCTTTATTGTTTATTTCATTGATGTACTTAGAATTTAGTTGTCAGCTATGAGATAAGAACATGCTTTTATTATTTTCTCCAAATGTTTTTCAGTTTGTGACATCATCAATGAATAATAACCCACATTGCTTTTCCTCAATGATATAAATACCAAGCTTACTATAAACAAGATCCCCACATATATTTGAATTTACATATGGAGCCTACATCTGGAGTTTATCTATTTTACCCTACTGCCTGGATATCTTCTCCAATTCCGAATCTTTAATTATTGTATATTTTTAAATGTATTTGAATATCTGATAAGGGTACACTCTTTATTCAAAAAATTTTGGCTATTCTAGTAGAGGTTTTTCTGTAAGATGAACTTCAGTAGTTTTTCATTATGTTAAAAAAAAATCTGTTATTTTAATTGAGCCCCTATTCCCAGAACTAAACTAACAAAAACTACACTATGACACAAAATAATGAACTGAAAATATTGAACAATAAAGATTAATACATATTTATATTAAAAAATAAAGTGTCCATGGTTCCCTACAGTAATTCTGCTACTTTTTAAAAACATCTAAATTTATAAATATTTAATAATTTAAAAAATTCAAATCATTTCTAAGTCTTCATATGGAAATTTCCCCTAGTAAATAATCTAAAATAATTGAAAGTCCAGATGCTTAGAAAAGTTCACTGCAATCGTGTAAGACAAAAACTGGAAACAATCCAGATGTCAAAACACAAGGGATAAGGTGATTATCATGTCATAGGAATAGAAAACAGTGACCAAAATGACCATTATGAAGACCATGTAGCAATATGAAAAAAGTCGTAACACAATCATAACCATTAACACTTCCAAGCATTTAAATCATGCAAAGTGTGAGGTGCTTTAAATCTCACTGAATCTTATAAAGAGGTAATATGCAAATTGACTGTCATGCTCTCGCACAAGGTGGCCGCCACAAGATGGCCAGCATAGGAGGGTAGTTGTGGGCAATCAGGCCAGCAGGGAAGGGCAGTTGGGGGTGACCGGGCTGGCAGGGAAGGGCATTAGGGAGACCAGGCCTGCAGGGGAGGGCAATGAGGGGCAACCAGGCCTGCAGGGGAGGGCAGTTGGAGGCAATCGGGCCAGCAGAAGAGCAGCTAGTCAGGCTGGCAGGGGAGTGGTTAGAGGTGATTAGGCTGGCAGGCAGAAGTGGTTAGAGGCAAGAGGCAGACAGGCAAGTGTTTGGGAGCCAACAACCCCAGATTGTGAGAAGGATGTACAACTGCCGGTTTAGGCCCAATCCCCAAGGGTCACAGATTGGAAAAGGTGCAGGCTGGGCTAAGGGACATTCCCTTCCCCAATGCATGAATTTCATGCACCAGGCCTCTAGTCCTTATATAACATCTTTACTAGTATATCTATCATTGGTCCACAGTTAGTAAATGAGAGACTCAAGATTCAAACTCAGGTGTCCAACTCCAGAAACAAAGAATATTAGAATTTGTTTATTGAATGGATCATGATTGAAGTAAGAGAACAGGGGAAACTAGAAAGACAGGTTTTGTTGTTAATGTTGTGGGTTTTTTGTTTGTTTTGTTTGGTTTCTTTATTGAAGAAACTTTAGCAGCTTAAAAATAATTTAAAAAAAAAGATTTTGAAAAAAGTTCATCACAAAATAACTTTCATGTGTGCACTTCATATGGTAATGATGGGTATTGTTTCACAAAATTTGGATTTAACCACTTACATATATCTGAATACTGAGCAAAAATATGTTTGTCAATGTGGATTATAGTAAAAAAAAAAAAAAAGTCAGAAATGCTGCCTTATGTACACAATGCTGTAATAACAAAAGTCAACAAATCTTTTAGTTAAAAAGAATTCCAAGAAGCCTGGAATGTTAGCACAGTCTAGAAAATAGTTGTCCAATAGAACTTTCTGCCACAAAAGAAACAATCTTACCTAAAAATATGGCAAAGCACTTCATGTGAAAGTTGATTCATATAATCTTTTGTTTCCTCTGATACTGTTTCCTCAGGGACCTCATTGTTTACGAGACACCTTTTAACACTTTTCTTTCGTGGACCCATTGCTGCGTTATCTCCAATATAGAAGAGCAAATCTCCCCGCTTGGTTACTTGAATTCAAAGTACCTGAAAGCAAGCAGAGAACAAAGGAGATTAACAAATCAGATGCAGCAATTATCTCTATAAAACCTACATACTAGTAAAACAACATTTACTTTAAAATACAAAGGTAATTACAATGGTACAGATCACATTCAAATTAATAAAACTATTACACAAAAGGTACAGAACATAGTTTTCTGGAGAACAGTACAGTATATACAGCAATTATTTAGAACTAGTGACCCAGTGCACAAAATTTGTGCACATTAAAAGGGGATTAATTAGAGGAAATAATTTAATATTGCTATTTGTCCTTCCTCTATAATAGAAGTATCAGAGATGAAAGAAAATTAGTAAAATGTATATGAAAACCTTCCTCTTGTCAGAGTCTGGGGCTCACCATGAGATCCAGAGTCAACTTCCCACCCATCCAAATGCACCTCAAAATCGTGTGAGACCCAGACCCAGCTGCCCATACCGCCTGACTGGGCTAGATCCAGACCTGGCCAGTCCCACCCTTGTGAAGCCCTGCCAGGCAGGGGCATAGCCTCAGGTCCCTGGCCCAGTGCTGGGGGTGGGGAAGAAGCATGGCCTGAGATCCTTTGTCAAACCCTACTGGGTGAAGCATGGCCTGAGGTCCCCTGTCAAGCCCTGCCAGGCAGGAGGGTGAAGCCTCAGGTCCCCAGGCCTAGCACAGGGAGGGAGTTGCAGCCTCGGGTCTCCCATCAAGCCCCGCTGGACAGGGGGTGTTGCCTGAGGTCCTCCGGCCTGGTGCTGGGGCAGGGGGAGCAGCCTGAGGTCCCCTAGCCCAGCACCAGCACCAGGACAAGAAGTGCACCTTGAGGTCCCCCATCAAGCCCATTGGGCAGGGGGAGCAGCCTGAAGTCCCCTGTCAAGCCCCATGGGGGCAGGGAAGGGCGTAGCCTCAGGTTCCTGCTGATTGCTCGTTAAGGCTCCTTGAGGGAACTTGGCCTCAGCTGTGGGTGCAGTCATCTTTGTGATGGAGTAATGGTCAATTAGCATATTCCCTAATCCAAGGAACCAGGAGTCTTAGATTCTAATTTGTACTCTGTTGCTTCTTAGCTAACTTACTCAATTTCACCAAGCATCAATTTCTTCAAATATAAGGCAAGAGCTCTCACTTCCCAGTCACTTGATTGCTATTCTCATCAACTGTACCATTATATTGTCCACACTGAAACTAGAGCTATCATTGTACAACATCCCTTGGATTACTTCCTAAGTGAAAAGGGCAAGATATTCAATTTGCATAAAAGAAAAAAAAACAAATATGTTATCGTTGGCAGGATACATGATAAAATATTAACAGTAGTTACCTCTGGGGAATAAGAACAGAAGTTTAGGAAAGCAGGAAAGAGACTTTTACTTTTCATATTCTTCTCCATTGTTCGAAAAATTTTAGATTGGTCAAGTGTAGTTCTTAAAAAACAAATGACCAAATCAGCCTGCAAAAAATCCTAGTTTCTAGGATAAAATCTTTCCATTGTGGTCTCAAACCACCTTCCCATCCTTTTAATCCTACCACTTGCTCCTCAGGACACTCACTCCAGCCGCACAACATCCTCAGTTCCCTCAAACCATCATTGATATTTCACCCCTAGATAAGTTATTGACTCCCAACTAGAAAGTCCTTCTCTTCATTTCCTTATTTTTTTGGCCTAAGAAACCACTAATTTGTGTGTTTTCTTTCATCTGCCTTCAAAATCTGGTTTAAATGTTAAGTCCTCTGCGAAAACTTCTTCCTGGGAGCTTCTACCATAGCAACTTGTGTAATGTTTTATTCATTAAGTCTCTGCCAGGAAAAGGAAAAGAAACTCAATCTCCTGCCTCTAGGTGATAACAAGTCCTTGGCTCATAATAAATTCTCAAATGTCTGATGTATGAATATCCATCAGTCCTTCCATTACTCATATGCACCCAGTAGCTTCAAGGCTGCTAAGAACCCTTTCATGTTCCTATTTGCTACCACAGCACTCAGTGACCTCAGCAGCAAGCCTATAACCCTGCAAACATGTAATCAGATGTTACTCCAATAAGGACACATCACAAACAGCTACCCTGCAACATATAAATGAATCAACAAGACTATTAACTAGTACAGAGCAATCCAACCATGGGTTAATTCTCTAGCTATCATATTTTAATGTTTCACGTTTAAAAGAATCTCCACAACTCTGCTCTGGCCGGGAAGCTCAGTTGCTTAGAGCAGCAATCGCCAACCAGTGGTCTGCGGACCAGTGGTAGTCTGTGAGGTCCGGAAGGTTGGCGACTGCTGGATTAGAGCATCATTCCTATATGCCAGGTTGTGGAGATTCTGGGTCAGAGTACATAAAAGAAGCAACCAATGAATGCATAAATAAGTGAAGCAACAAACTGTGATTTCTCTCTTTCTCAAAACTCAATAAATAAAAAATTTTAAAAATCTTCACAATTCTGTTTACTCATACCATGTTGACTCTTTATCCTTTAAATAAAAATCCTTCTTAGCCAAATCCACACCACTTCATAATTTACCCCCTATCTACAATCCCACCTTTTATTGTCCCTTTATATTTGGCAATGCTGTGGTTTTGTGAGTCAGACTTAACAGCTCCAATGTACAACCTACATTTGGATTTTTAAAACATGACTGCATCTTAAATATCATTGAGTTTATAAAGGTCCACTTGTTTGGAACTTAGAGAAACATTCATTCACAGATATAACATTATGCACATCATATAGATGTTAGGTCTCCAGAAAGACCACAAAAATCTCTTTAACCAACATTAAGCATTAACTCTCCACTAAAGGGCCTAAATTAGCAAGATTAACAAAATTTTAGGTGAGATTATATGTGCACTTCCCATATTGTGCCTAGAATTAGACTTGGTCTTGTAAGCTACCTTCCTGGCAGTACGTAGAGTAGTGACTGCCCCCTTACTCTAAGCCTTCAGTGGGGAAAGGACTTGTGGAGGGGTTTAACAGGTCAGGACCTATAGACAGGAAGTCCATCAGTCCTCTCTAATCTAAGCAGGTGCCCCTGGAAAAGCTGAGGACATAAAAAGCTTTCCCATTAAAGACGAATTTATCTTCCCTCACATTGAAGAAGTCATTGATCTCCCCTTGCCACCACTCACTCTACAATGGACACCAAATTGTTTTAATTAAAGTTGATTCATCTTCATTTACGTGAAGTACAGCTAGGCCATGCTAAGCATTTCATCCCAGGCAATGAGTAACAGAAGCCTGAGAAGAAAATACCAAGACATGCAAATTCACGAGTGACGATGTGGTCTCCCCTATCCATCTTTAGCAGTAGATAAAGATGATGCATTGGAGGTGGCCGGCAGAGGAGTCAGGGAGGTTAGGGAGAGGTGAATATATATATATATGGACTACAGCTTGTAGCACTAGGTCTTATTTCTAGGATTAGCAAGTTCTGGGGGCTTAGAGTCTAAACCTCAAAGAAATGTCATTCTGACAATTTTATAGAATCCTAGAATGTTAAAAGTGGAAGGGGCTTTCAGAAACTACTTAGTCTCAGCGTTGTTAATTTTTTCTGGGCCACAAACACACCTGAGACTATGATGAAAGATGCACGAATTCTCCCCAAGAGGTAAACAAATCATACACAGACTCATGTATGCTGAATTACACACATACATCTTCAGGGATACATCAAAGATCACCCAGAGGTCCCTATCCAAGACTGGCATCCTCAATTCTCAGATGGATAAACAGTACCAGAGAGGATAAGTCACTTGCCCACGGGCATATATTAAGTGTCAGAGCTCAGGTTTGGATTCAGACTCCCCAACCCACACTATATTCCCTATCAAACCTCTGCAGCTTGGCTGCCTCCCTGCACTCTAGAGATATGCCCCGGTGCTTGGAGATGGGCTTCTGGATGCTGTGATAGAACTGCTGCTGACTGCAACTTTCCTCCCATCTAAATTAGGCTCCCACACATAGCCCTGGGTATCCTAGTCATTCTGGAGCTGTCTTGTTTAGTAGACCTGAGCCACAGGAAGTATTATTTTTGTCCTGGAGGCCCAAGAACACTCTTAAGTAGTAAGCCAGTGTTATTTGTGAGTATTCTTTAAACTAGGGTCCTCCCATAACATAATTTCTCTTAGACATGCATGCTCTTCTCCCAACCTGTCCAGTTCTAAGCTCCTCCCATCCCAAGCAAAACTACACTATCCTCTATTCAATTCCTTTTGGTTGCTCCCAAATTTATCCCAATCTTTTAATCCTTAGCCCCTCAAGGCTTTCTCCTCTTCTTGTTGGGAAGCATCAACATTTCCTTGCTTTAAAAATCAAGTTATTTTCCTTTTAAGCCTCCATTTCCATAATAGAGGTTTTAACACATTTTGCACAATTCCCACAACTGCTGATACCTATAAAGACCTACATAAATTTACTCCCTTACTCTCTAAATGTTACAACTAAAAACCTTCCTATACCTGTTCCATCTTGTCAACATCTTCTTCCATCCCTAAACTATTCTAATTACTCCCTTACTCAGATCACACCAGACCCTCCAGGACATGTGTTTGTCTCTTACTACACACTTTATAGGGCAGAGATTAAACACCTTACAACTAAACAGAAAACTAAGGGATTTCTTTTACAAAACATCCACAATTCTGTATTAATTTCTGTTCCCAAAGCTAATTAATAACAATCCTCTGGAGAAACTTCATAATTGCTACTACCCTGTTTCCCCGAAAATAAGACAGTGTCTTATATTAATTTTTTCTCCCAAAGTTGCACTAGGTCTTATTCTCGGAGTATGTCTTATTTTCGAAGGATGTCTTATTTTCGGGAAAACACGGTATCTATCCATCCATCCATCACTTAAGTGACCCATCCTTAACTCAATTATTTATTTACTGCCAACTAAGTGCTAAATGGTAACAGACTTTCTCCCCGTGAATCTCACAGTCTCAGAGTGG